GGGGGGCAGGGCTACGTGTGAGTAAGGGAAGACTAGGAATGCTGCGATATTCCTCTGCTCCACATCCTTCCGACCCCTTTCACTTCTGCCTGATCCGAGCCATCAGACTGCAGCCAGGGCAGCAGATGTTGCTTATCTCCCATATGCGATACAAAGGGATGCCTGCCGATTGCCATCCAGCTGCTGATCTCTTCTCATGGTCCCATGTTCACTCACGTAGTCGGTGAGCTGTCCGTAGGCAGAGAAGGCGTGGGCGAGACCATCGTCCGAGGTGTTCCACGACAGGTTTCCGACGTAGACCTTGGCAGCCATTGTTGAGTTGGATGTGAGGTTGGTATGTGTGAGTGTACGGGAAATGATGCGTTCGAGTCGACTGAATGAATCGAGAATGGGATGGTAAAAGTGGCAAGGGCAAGTCGAGGTGAAGAAGTTTATTCGTGTGTGAGCTCTGCGTGCGTCGAAGCGGAGGGCCAGGCGAGAAGAAAAGCCTGGACGAGAAGAGAGGCGAGCGGCGCTTACGCAGTGCGGCCAGTCCAGCAGAGGCGAGCGCTGCCCCTCTCCGCGCTCATCTCATCATGCACCCGCACAATCTCGACTTTTTGATGGCCGCATATACGCCCCTGCAAGAGACTCACCGTGGGCAAACTCGTCGTGTCTGTCGATGAGGATGAGAGAAAGAATCTCGCAGAGGTTGACCAGATGTTGGGGATTTGACGTGTGCGTACAGCCGCTGCGACTTGATCAGAGGTATGTGGTCAGAGCGAGAGTGATGAAGCGCGCAGACGTGGCTAGTGGAGAGCAGGTGTGGTCGGGTGTATTGGAGAAGCGGGAAGTTCAAGGTGTCGAGCGATGGCAGGAGCGAGGCGAGACAGCGAGCGAAATAAGAACGTGGTGCTGGCAGAAAGAGGATTGGTAGGGGAACAAAGGGCGAGACAGGGACGGTGATTGGACGGATGGATGTTGGCTAGGACCACGGACGACGAACGACGGACGACGGACGAGAATTCAAGACGCGTGCTCCTCCTCAGCTGCTGTGGCACGGCGGCTGTTGCGGGTGGAGATTGCCGCACACGGGGCAGGGCAACGGATCGCTAGTGTTGGTGTGGGAGCAATAGCAAAAGGTCTGGTAGCCCTCACAGCATCCGTACTGCCATTACCACGCACGGCAGTCCCGTGGAAGACCAGCGACGCACGTGACCTAGCGCAGGCCAGTACGCAACATGAACGGGCTGACAGATCTGTGTATGACAAGTTTATCTGCAAGCGGCTGCCAGAGGCGAGAGGCATGATGCTCGAAGTGGCGCTGCAATGAGATTGTCGCCGGGCGCAAGGGACAAGCCGTCACCATTTAGTGAGATGAGGCGTAGAGGTCACCAACCAGCGGCGAAAAGCTGAAGAGGGTCCACCGATGCTCGCTGCCAGGCCTCTAGGGTCGCGTTGGCCCCTTGCGAAGTGCTCTCGTGGCTTTCGAGCAGGGGTCAATATGATAAGAGCAAAGGGAGCGCGGCTCTTGTCGGCGGCTGCTGTACAAACACGCTTCAACTGAGATGGCTCCAACCCCGCTCGCAGCGGAGTCAGGGCCAATCAGGCTCAGCCTCATCGCATGACTTGGCGCCGCGCCACATCTCTGAATTTGGCAATAGGGGTTCACCCAGAGCTCATCGGGATGCATCGCGTACTCAGGATGCGAGCTTGAAGGAATGTTACGACCTCCAGTTCTGGCAGGCGCGTTGGGTCCCTCGTGTATTGACTGAGTGCCCCTCGCGTGCTCTCCCCAAAGACACGACTCAGGGACGGGATTGGTGCGCCCCGTACGGCATGCCCTTGTACCACGGAATTCAATCGCAACGACTGAACATTTTTTTGCCCGAAAGCAAGGGTCAGTATAATAAGCAAGAGCAAGCTGATGACTGATTCTGCCGGGCTCGCAGCGAGCCCACGCTGCTGGGTGCGGGCCGGCGGCGGGAAGAACAAATGCAAGCGTGGACGGTGTGTTTATGTGTGCGTCTGCGTGTGTTCCTGCTGCTCTGATGCTCCGGCCGGTCGGAATTGATCGGTGTTTCTGCCGCGGAGGTGCGAGAGGCAGTCTGGTAGCGAGAGAATCCTGTTGTCGTTGTTGCTGCTGCTGCTGTTTGCCTGCTGCTTGCATCTTGGCCTGGTGTAAGGACTGAAGCTCGCTGCGTGCCAGTCGTCGGCGCTCGACGGAATTTCGTTGTTGCGTGGTGTTTTCTTCCGACGGCAGGACGCGCTGCTGAGCCTCGTCACAAACATCGGCAGGGGGCAAGCACGCAGGCAGATTGACTGCGCTCGTCGGCGAGGCGGTCGTAGCCGAGACGGGCGGGCGGCACCAGAGGAGCCAAGACACAGCCAGGGGCGTCTGCCAATCTGCCCGCCCGCTTGCCCGCCCAGGCTTCCCTTGGCCAGCTCCACCCCACTTGACCACTCACGGACAAGGCCGTCGCCCGTCGCCCGAAGGCCGCACTCAAGGTCCTCGCGCCGAAGGAGGAAACGGCCATCGAACCCTCCCTAAAGACACCCTCGACCACACCTCCCCCTTCCAATCCATTCCAAAACACCATATACCACCCTCCCCCGCACCCATCTCTCCCACCCCTCCATCAAGGGTTATAAGCAGTTGGTCTCACACGCCGCAAGACCTCTACTGCCTTGCCTCAGTCCGCTCCAGAGCCCCTCTCTTTACCCCTTTGCCACCTGGCGCAACTGCCTCCTTGGCTAGCACTCCACAACCCTTTTCCCTTCACTCGGCCCCTTCTTGCCCACGGCGCGCACACTCACTCTTACACGCTCCTCGTCGTCGCCCATCAATACTCCTTCCTCGCTGCTCTATCTCCACACCTTGAGATACCTTCTATCCTCTCAACACCACTTATCATTGGCGGCAACTTCTTCAGCCTCCCCCTTACATCAGCCCTATCGCTAGACCGCGTGACGTTGCTCATCAGAGACACGTCCTTGGCAAGAGTTGACACCATTGTCTACTAGACGCGCTGCACTGCCCCCTTCACATACACAAACATGCTTCAATCGAAAATCATCACAACTGTCGTTGCGGCCGCTGCCGCTACGCTCTCCCTGGGAGCTTCGCTGGCAAGCGCCGCAAGCTCGGGAAAAGCCCTGACATACGAGGTCATCAACGATGACTCCTTGGCATCGGCCATGATGCTGGGTCTCATCAACGAGGACTACGTATTCATCATGGACAAGGTCGAGAACAACCGTGCTCGCGTCCCTGGTTACGACAACAAGCCAGTGTGGGGTTCCATCCTCAGTCTGAGTGATAACTCTGTCACCGCAATCGACGTCAACACCAATCCTTTCTGCGCTTCTGGTTTGATCCTCGGTAACGGAACATGGGTCGTGGCTGGAGGCAACCAAGCTATCTCCTACGGAGGCATCTCCATCGGTACCGCAGGGACCGCGGCCGACTACCCGTACCAAGACTACGATGGTGGTAAGGCTTTGCGTCTCCTGAATCCTGTAGCAAGTGGGTCCGACGTTTCCTCAATCCAGTGGCTCGACCAACCCGGCGGCGTGCAGATGCAGTCTCAACGTTGGTATCCGGGTGTCGAGTCGCTTCCGGATGGCTCCATGGTCCTCATTGGTGGTGCCATCAATGGAGGATACATCAACCGCAATTACCCAAACACCGACCCACAATACTCCAACGGTGGCTTGACCGGTAGTCTGCAAAACATCGATGGTGGTGGATCGAACCCGACTTTCGAGTTCTACCCAAGCAAGGGCTCTCCTGTCCTCTCAAAGTTCATGGCCAACACCAGCGGCCTCAACATGTACGCGCACATGTACTTGATGCCCAGTGGTAAGATCTTTATGCAAGCCAACTACTCTACCATTCTGTGGAACTACACCGCAAACACAGAAACCTATCTTCCGGACATGCCCGACGAGATCGTCCGAGTGTACCCAGCTTCCGGAGCCGTTGCCATGCTCCCCCTGACATTGGACAACAACTACACTCCAACCATCCTCTTCTGTGGTGGTCAATCAGCTCCGGAAAACCAGTGGGGCGACTTCACGGCTCCCTTCTTCAATCCTCTGACTCGGGCTGCTTCGAGCGCTTGCCACTCCATCCAGCCTGAGAATGCCGATGGATCGATCAACACTGCTGCTGACTACGTCTTTGAGGAGAGCCTGCCCACGGGCCGCACGATGGGTCAGTTCATTCACCTCCCTACCGGACAGATGTTGATCGTCAATGGTGCTGCCAATGGTACTGCCGGTTACGGCAACGTCACCACTACGATGGCCTCGAATGCTGGCGGAAACTACACCTGGGCGAACGTCTTCTACAACGCTGACGGAACCAATGTCACCACGGAGAGCATGACACAAGAGCCTTCCTACACACCAGTCCTCTATGACCCTGCCATGCCCGTGGGGTCGCGTCTGACTCAGAGCGGTTTCGGCTCCTCGACTATTGCTCGACTCTACCACTCGTCTGCTCTGCTTCTGCCCGACGGATCCGTCTTGATTGGTGGATCAAACCCGCACATGGATGTCACTCTGAACATGCCTACGACGCCAATCAACGGCGTCACTTGTTACAACACGACATATGAGCTGGAGAAGTGGTACCCTGACTACTACTTCGAGACCAGGCCGAACGTCTCGGGTCTGCCAGAGTACATCCTGTACGGCGGCAACACCTGGTCCTTCACCGTCGACTCGAAGAGCATGGGCAGCAACGCCAACTACAAAGCAAACAACACCAAGGTTATGGTCATCCGCCCTGGATTCTCGACCCACGCCATGAACATGGGCCAAAGATCAATTCAGCTCGAGCACGCATTCACGGTGAACGACGATGGTAGCGCCACTTACACGGTCATGCCAATGCCCACGAATGTCAACCTTTTCGCGCCAGGCCCCGCTCTCCTCTTCATCACCGTCGACGGTATCCCAAGCTCCGGAAAGTACATTCAGATCGGACAGAAGACTTTCAGTGGCACCGTCCCTTACGATTATGCTAGCAACGCCGGGTCGGCCCCCACCCTTCCTAGTTCGGTGACCAACTCGAAGTTCTCGTCTGCTGCTACAAGTAGCAGCTCGGGCAGCTCCTTCGGAACCGGAGCCATCATTGGTGTTGCCGTTGGTGCTGCCGTTGTGATCCTTTTGATCCTGCTGGGTCTCCTTTGCTGGAGGCGTCAGTCCAAGAAGCGGGCTTCGAAGGGGATGACAGAGGGCTCGGCTAGTGCAGGCGCTGGTACTATCTACGGACAGTCCAGCTATCGCGACACTCCAGGCGGAGAGTACAAGAGAGTCAACACTCCTTCGAGTTCCGTCCACGCTTTCGCAGCACCTCTCCGCAGTGGGACACCAAACACCGATTACGACAGCTATCGGATGAATGATGTCAGCGGACCAAACACGCCGTTCTACGACCACCCGAGGGACTCGACACGCTCGCCCCTAGCATTCAGTGCTTCAGCTCAAAGTGGTTGGGGAGAGCACCACAGCGGTGACGCAGGCGACTACTACAAGGACAACATGGACCGCTCGGAACCTTACGGCAGCTACCGAGACGACCATATCCCCCATCAATGATTGCTGACTTGCTGCAGCGCTTTGATGAAGCTCGCTGGAGGACAGCTGAGCAACGACTAATTTGATGGACATGACTTCTCTGTGGCTTCTCTGGCCCAATCCCGTTCCATCCGGAACATCAACAACGAATACTACCGCTTTCATCTGGACAATTGGTTTCGGTCTCGGCTTTATTTGCGGCTTGGTCAGGGTCTCCGAATCCTCCTTCGCTCGCAGGCGTACAATCATACGTTTACACACGGTCTCTACCGCTCTTTTCCTGCCTTTCCGAGTCATCATCACTTCCATTCAACGCATACGATTTCTTCTTTCCACTCTTCCCGTGCGGCCATTTGCACCTTTTGCTCTCCCTCTCCCTCCCCCGTCCCTCCTTCATATTTTCCGCTTCCCTCGCCAGCACCCTGTGCGTCGTATGTGTACTCAGACCTACTTCATACGTCGACCTTTCTCTGTCCCTTGCAATTTATACACTCCACTCTGCCCTGTCCTGTCCTGTGCTTCTTCTGAATTTGACTGTAGCATTGAGACGAGTTCGCGGCACGCCCTGCCACCGGATCTGGCCTGAATCGCTTGCCTGCTTGACCGCCCGATCGCTTCCCCTCGGTCGTCTCTGCGCCCAGCCGGCTTCTGCTTCCGTTCCGTTGCTAGACCCTTTTTCCAGTCCCACGCACGCAAGCCCGCACGCACCCAACTAACCAACGAGGCGGTACGACGATCCGTCCCCTGATATTCCCCTATCATCACCTCCCGTTGCTCTGTGCCCCTGTTTCTGCACGTGCGAAGCTTCTGAGCTCGAGCTTTCAACATACTGTGATCTATATCACGCTCACTTAGGCCTCGATGCTCTTCTGAGCACTCCATTAGAGCTTGGCGTGGCTCTTTCACTCCCAAGATAGACTGCTACGATGGAGCAGCCTCGCTCCGACTCTGCTTCGAGTCATCTCAGGACGTCTTCAGTCTCGGAACAGCCAGGCTCTCCCTGGTCACGTCCTTCGTTCTCGCAAGCGTCTGGCTCCATGGACGAAGCTCAGTGGCCTGAGCCTCCCCTATCTCCCGGCTCTTCTTCCGGGCACTATGAGGGTGATCATTCCAGGAGGAGGAAGATCAGTGAGAGGGCCAAGGACCTCTTTAGAAGGAAAGCTACAGACAAAAAGGATGGTACTCAAGGCTCTTCGACATCCGACAAAGGCGGTCTGCCTTCCGCTCAGCCTTTGCCCGATAATCAGCTGCCGTATCAGCCTCGGGTCAAGGTAGGTGCTGCACGGCCCCTAAAGATTGCGCCGCCCAGGAGCCCCCTTAGCGCTGAGCCCTCGCCATCTAGTCAGCAACATCCCAGCAACAGCAATCTCCCGTCGATAGAGGCAAGGCTACACTCGGTGATGCCGTCTGCCAAGGCTTCGACGTCTGGAGGCTCGTCTCACTCGCCCAGCCTTCGATCGCCTTCGCCAGAATCAGGGCCTTCACTGGCTGGATCTCGGAGAGGGTCACAGCTGGCACCCCTGACCATAGATGAGACAGTGATAAAGCCCAGAATTATCGAAGACATCGAAACGTCATCAGCAGACAAGACGCCTACCGTTGCCTTTGGCCGCTCGTCCGAGCTGCCGACTTCTGCAAGCGATATGCTTGGGACGCCTCGTCAGCCCAGTCGCAAGTTGTCCCTCACCAGAGGCACTGAAGTAGCAGGACCTTCTGTGGAAAGCCCTCCTACAAGGTCTCACTTCCAACTTCATAGGCCGAGATTGCCCCACCCTTCGCGGAAGAGCTCTGTTGACCTCAACCGAAGAACTGCTCGAGGACAGAATGACTCTCATGAGAAGGAGACGGCTGGGCCGCCAGGAGCCTTTCCAGTGGCCCCTTCCTATCATCCGAATGCCCATCCTACCCTGCAGCCTCCTCGCGTTGCCTTCAACATCCTTGATGGTCCCACCTCAAGGGACAATGCCACTGCCTCGTCTGAGGATGTCGGGGCCGGTGTGACACTACCTGAGGAGACTCTTCCGCCCGCCAGATTGCAAAGGCCTGCTATCAAAGTCAAGATCATCACCTGGAACATGGGCGGAGGTTCGCTGCCGAAAGGCGACCTGGAGGTGCTTTTGGGCCGAGTCGGAGGATATGTTCCTCCGGACGAGGGCTGGGACCTCGACCCCGAAAGCGACGTCGATGGCGGAGAAAGCTCCGACGGTGGGACCAAAGGCGAGGATGCTGCTGCGCAGAGGGCGAAACGAAAGGCGCGAGGGAAAGGTGTTCCCGGGCAGGAAGGTACCCCGCGTCACGACCGGATACCTCCTCTGCCCCACGATGATGGTCACCCGTACCATCTGCTCATTGTCGCTGGTCAGGAGTGCCCTTGGGGAGATGGAAAGCGCATTGCTACAGGACTGGGCGTCGCAGGCGAACTTGGCGATCTGGCTCGGACGAAGAGCAAAGTACAGCCCAGCAAGGCAATGAAAGACGCCGGTACGCCAAGTCTGGCAGGTGCCATGGACCTTTGGTCCCCCGGCGTTGGCACACCAAGGGCACAGGCTGGAGAGGAGTTTCCCTTCGGCTCACCACCTCCAGCTAACACGAGCAGCGGCGTGCCGGCTCCAGCTCCGCACAGCAAAGGTCTCGGCGGGAAGGGCTGGAGTGAAGCATGTGAAGACTGGCTATGTAGAGGGCCGGCAGCGCAGACGCAAGCAACCAAGGGCCTGGCTGCTACGGCCGAAGCTATCATCCACGGCAGAGTCCCAGCTACGCAAGCGCCATCACGATCCGAAAGTCCAGAACCCTCTGCCTCTGTGTCTTCCCACACGGAAGGTGGCTCGATGACGCATTCCTCTTCCGACGACTTTGAGACCATGTCACCCTTTGGTGGATCGCCTCCTCAGCCTGGAAACTTGTCGAAGGGTCTCATTGCTGGCCGAAGGCAGAGCACCGGCGGTACTTTGACCGTCCCGAAACCAGATCTTGGTCGAGCAAGCAGCACCGGCACGGTTGGTCAATTGGCATCGGAGGATAACAGCAGTAGCAGTGGCGCTAACAGTATCAACACTGCAGCAGAGACATTACGTGTTCCCTCCCCTGCGGGCCCATCCCCTAGTGCACCTATCGTCAAGGACTTTGCTGCGATCCCTGCTCCGCCAACTACGCCCGATGCCGCTACTGCTCGGGACAATGCCAGGCGTCAATTGCATCTACAAATCCCAGGTCAACACTCTGAGAACCCGCCCCACACCATTGGAGCCTACGAGCTGATCGCTAAGGAGCGCATGGCGATGGTCTACTGTGCCGTCTACGTGTGGCGAGGCTGTCGCGACCGGGTACGCGGCGTGTCACGAGGCCAGGTCAAGAGCGGACTACTGGCTGGTCGAGTCGGTAACAAGGGCGCTGTGGGCATCAGCATCAAGATTGGCCAGACTAGACTGCTGTTCGTCAACTCTCATCTTGCTGCTCACGAGGGCAAGGTGCAGACTCGCTTGGACAATATTGCAAAGATCAAGCGAGAGTTGAGAGTTGACACCTTCCTCCCCACCGATGATCCGCGCAACCGTCTTGACGATGTCACTGAGATGTTCGACCACGCCTTCTGGCTTGGTGATCTCAACTTCCGGGTCGACATCACCAGGCAACACGCAGACTGGCTCATCATGCAACGGCGGTATGACCAAGCCATAGAGTTTGATCAGCTTCGCAAGGTGATGAAGGAGGGCAAGGAATTCAAAGGCTTCAACGAACATCCTATCACCTTTCCTCCGACGTACAAGTATGATGTGCTGAAGACGTTGAAGAAACCGAAGAAGGAACGCACAGTCAGAAGGATCCTGCAGAGGAGAGATCACGCGGCAACGAACCTCGTCACGTCTCCGACCGACACTGCAGATGATCCGGACCTTGACAGCCCAGTTCGCTGGGAGGCGATGGGTAGTGGAGAAACAACGGGACTGGTCGCCAAGCGCACTTCGCAGATTCACCCGCAACAGCAGGGGACTCAAGCGGGACAGTCGCTGTCCGATCGAGACAGAGATCAAGAGTATACAGATGACGATGCCAGCTCTATCTCATCAGCAGCTTGGGATTCGTCAGGCTTTGCCAATCAGCTTGGTACTGATTCGGATGAAGAATCTTCCACGTTTGCTGCCTCCTCGTATGGCGTCAGTCCAGTAGATCCGGTAGTCTCGAGCAACACCAGTGCTGCTCAGGGTGGCGCTATCTTCTCCCATGGCGCTGCTATAAAGGCCAAGCTTCGCATCATGGATCTGGTACGTTCGGCGACTGGAGCAAGCAGTGAGCATGGATCTGCAAGCAAAAGAAAGGAGAAACATCGAAGCCGGGACTTTTCGGCTGGAACCCCAAGCCAGCCAACTACTCCGAGGTCAGATCGCAGCAGCCCATTCTTCCCGCCTTCGCAGTCGGGAGAGCAGCAGGCTCTGTATACCTCTCCGAAGGCCTCCGCCAGTGAAGCGCTGCCCGGGCTCGCCCGCAAAATGTCGAGTAAGGCCGCTTCGTCTCTCCCTACCTTCTCTTCTCAGCCCGGCGACAATGGCCTGAGGCATCAGAGCTCAATCGCTTCAATGAACTCGGTACAAGGGTCAGCAGGAAAAGCGCCTAGTTTTGGCTCTAAGAGGCCTGCTGCAGGCCCAAGAACACAGACTCCTCCGACACTTGCGCAATTTGGGCGCCGTTCGTCAAGTACTTTGGATGCCGAGGCAGTCGCTGCAGGCATGCCGCGAAGCGAATCGACTGCCAACCAGCTCGCAGCTGAAGCCGAGATTGAGGAACAGAGGTATGACACAAGCGCAAAGCAGCGAGTACCCAGCTGGACGGACCGTATTCTCTGGAGAAGCAACGTTCCACTCGCGCCTTCGGAATCTGAGAGCGTGCCGGGCAAGATGAGCAAGAGCCTATCTGCCATCAAGGCCGCTGCGGCTTCTACCTCTTCCCGAGCATCGCAGCACGTCCCGCTTCCTGGTCACCATGAAAGGCGAGGAGGCTCGTCTGTCCCGCTACCCAAGCGATCTCAGACATTCTCCCATCCTGTCTCGAGCATGGACAAGAAGATCGCGGAAGAGGATGTGGGCGGATCTGACGAGGGGGGTGACTTACGGGACGCAGTTCCTCAGAGGGGCCGGGGAGGCACGTGGTTCAATTGGCACGGCCCTCCCAAGAATGGTAGCCGCGTGAGCAGCTTGGATCTCTCTGGTGATACAGCAGTCGTCAAGAGTACGAGAAATTCGATCGGCTCTGCGCTGTCTGTTCAGCCAACTCCGGACACTTCGAAGCGTTCAAGCAATGAAGTAGTTCCCGTTTCGCCGATAGACAGGCCCGCCGCGGCCAAGCCCTTGATGCCCACCACGCCCAAACGGACGGCCTCTGCAGGACACACCTCGGCATTTGCGCGTCCTTCGTACACCAGAGGACCCATGAGCTCCCCTCGCCTGGCAGCACTTCGAGCGGTCAGCTCGCCGTACGACGCCAGTCACGATCAGAGGCTGCCACCGTCGCCTAGCTCCGAGAGCCGCCCAGAAGTCCCACTCAGTGCGCCCATGCAGGCCTCGGATAGTAATGGCAGCAACACACATTCGAATCGCAGAATGACCAGCTGGTGGTCTTCACACATGCCCTCTATCTTGACGGCACAGGGAGCAGCAGCTGCTCTTGCCTCCTTTGGCGGACCGCGAGATGGCCCTCACCAGGCGCCCGGCGATCCTATCAATGTTGCAATTGTACCGCCCAAGCCGGAGCTGATTGGACCAAGGAAGGGAGAGGTGCAGTGTCTGCTCTACAAGAGCTTGGATGATCGGGAGATGCGGGCCCTGGAAGGGAGGAGTGACCATCGGCCGGTGATCTGGATCGGCAGCTGTGGAATATAAGGCGCGACCGTGCCTTCGCCAAGGTTGATGGCTCAGTATACACCCAGGAGAAGCTTGACAGCTTCCGCCTCACTTTTCCCATTCTATAGAACGTGGCGTGCCCTGCTTGTAACTGTAGCCAATCAATATACCGACGTCCATCTTCTTGCTGATGTAATTCGGCTCCGCTCCGCGTCCCTGCGTGCATTTTTTGACTGATCGATGCACTGACGCCGCTTCAGTCCTTCTCGTCAGCGCTCATCCCCCACGCCCCCAATGCCAGGGGAGCTCCTACTCTGTCCTTCCCCTCTATAGACTTGAGTCTTCTAGACCATGATCAACCAGACATCCTACTAGGTCTCACTCATCGCGTTTCGATACCTTGCTGCGCTTTTGGACGTGCGCAAGAAGAGGGGTCTCGCCATCGTCGCGCCTGGAGCTTGGGCGGAGAGGGCATAGCTGCTCTCCTCTGATCCCGCGAAGGGGTCTGGGAAAGTCTCCATGATCGTAGTGAGAAGTCCTTCCTCGAGGATCCTACTACGAGAGCACCTCCAAGCTAGACTTCTACACTCGTCTCTGGGAAGACAGCAGCATTACCAACATCCGATATGCTGCCTCCACCAGCAGGTCCATCGGCGGCGGGTGGCCACCACCGCTTCCTCGGCGACGAGCGAGAGATGCTCTTGCGGACCGCTACCGCTGAGCCCATCTTCCAAGCGTCGTATTGAAGCAACGAAATCACCGCTACTCTTGCTCGCTGCTCGCCACGCCTCGACAGCAGCTCAATCTCAATCGCAGCCACCTCCGCCTCCGCAATATCTCCCCCCATCTCGATCTCAGCCTCGACCTCGTCCCAGCGTAGCTACCCGCGAGGAGCTTCCAACACCCATCAAATACCTCTGCTACCTATCAGGCGAGCTACGAAAGCTTCGAAGCCAGACAGATGATCCATTCCGGATAGCTCGTGAGCTGGATCGGAGGATTACAATGGAAGATATCAAGGGCAAAGAGATCCGGTCCCACGTTCCTCATGTGCGCAGCCTGCTCACAAGTCTGCTACAGGTAGCCGAGGGCGTAGACCTTGATAAGACTCTGTCGGGACAAAGGCAAAGAGCGCTATTGCCTATTGCAAAGCAGCTCGCCAATGCCTCATTGCTGCTCAAGCGACATAGCCGTTCATCCTCATTGCCAATCGATGGGACAATTGAGGCAGGAGAGCAAATTTTGCGCCTTGTGAAAGGGCGTGAAGGCGATGTAGCTACACAAGCGCTCATTGGCGTTGGCCTGGCCCTGAAGGGCGATCTCGGAGCAGCCCTGACGAAGATGGAGGACGTGATGCAGGTCGCTCGCGCTGCGATTGCCGAAGGCCTAGAGCAGGTACAAGGACTCGATCCGACCAATCATCGATATACTGAGGATTTCAGCCGCCTGCTACAGTCCGTCATCGAATGTGGCATCGAGTCCGCTCTCGAAAATCAGCTTCCAGCCAAGGCCGAGCAGACTCATCGTCACATTCTACTGCGATCGGAAATGACACGGCTGCGGATGTCCCTCGATACCGCCTCGCCAGGTCCTGAAGTGTTGGCTGCCTCTGAGAGAATCAAGAGGCTGCTGCGCCGTCTGCTGTCATGCAGTCCCATCCTTCCCTTTGCATCTCGCGACTACCAAGATACCCAACGAGCTCTTGACGATCTCTTCACAGCACTCACTAGACCCGATTGCCAGGAACTCATCGGCTTTGTCCTCGGCTTTGGAGACGTAGAGGTCCGGACGCAAGCCCTTCTAGCTCTTGGGTTCGGTTTGGCTCGACTAGACCGGCTAGACGAGGCAATCTCTGTCTATGTGAGAGCAGACGAGGCCGGCTTCAAATTACCTGAACGCTTTGCAAGAAAGCTGATCCGACTCTGCACGACGGGAGGCAATACATCGAGCATGAGAACCGTCATGGACGTCTTTCAGAGACAAGCACTCGACGCTTCCACTGGCTTGATTCGTCTTGAAGAGCAGTCTTACCTCGTCCTCGGATCGTTTCTTGGCAGGCGAGGGCAGGTGGACCGCCTGCGTCTCCTGTGGCAACGCTTCCTCGAGCATTACCCAAAGCATGCTGGATCTTGGGCCCTCAAGCATAATTTTCTTGAGGCCTACGGCCGAGGCAACGATTTCATTCTGTTCGAGCGCCATCTCAACGAGAACTGGATTCTGCCCGGTTCGAGTGAGACCAATGCTCGCAAGAAGACCTTTGATAATATGACCTACATGACAGTCATCAATGCCTATGTTCGCTTTGGGCGGATGGAAGAAGCTGAGCGCCTCTTAGGACAGCTTCAAGGGAGATACCGGGAGGACATTCTTCTGCCAGCCCACAACGCCGTTCTTCGCGGTCACTTTCGCGTCCGCGATATTGCTAAAGCCGGAGCACTCTGGTCAAAGATGGTACAGCAGGGACCAGAACCGAGCCACATCACCTATGACTTGATGATCAAGATCTTCGCTAGGCGCGGAGACCTTCCTACCGCCTTCGATTTCTTCCATCTGATGCAGCAAGAAGGCTTTGCGCCTTCTGCGCAGATCTTGCCTCTGTTGATGTCTAAGCTCATCAGATCGGGAGAGTATGCCCAAGCGGAAACGATGTTCCGTTCGATGCTGAGGAACCCTCATGTGCAAATGGATGTTCGAGCATGGAATTGCATGCTCGAATCGCTCGTCTACCGCAACAGTCCCCTGAAGCAGGTCTTGCTGGCCTACGAGGAGATGAAAAAGCAAGCGCTCGCGCCGGATGGTAGGACCTATGCCCTTCTCCTGACCAGTGCTTGCGATGCCAACGCGATTAGGACTGCTGAGCACTTCTTCGCAGAAGCTGATTACATGGGAGCTCAACCAGATGCTGCGACCGGTGATAGACCCTCTTCTGTGTCGCAGAGTACTTTCTTTGGTGGCGATGTCGGCAGCGAGCAACAGGCACCGGTGCGACTCCCAGTCGAAAACATCGCAGATGAGCCACACAAACGTCCTCTACGGTTCGCGCCTAATCGAAGAACCAACGTCTCGCACTTTTCTATCCTCATCTATACCCATTTGCGTCTGGGCAATGTCACCGCTGCCAAGGAGTACTTTGACGAACTGCAGCGCAGGCGTGTGGGCGTTTCGGCCATCACATGGAGCATCCTGGTCAAAGCTTACATCGACAGTGGCAGCGAGGCCAATATGCGTCTAGCCCGCGACATCATCCTGCGCCAACTTGGCGAGGCCGATGAGGACAAGGCGGATGCGGAAGAAGGGCAGGACTCGGACGAGACAAGCAACGCTCGCAAAAATCGACACCGGGACGCTCAGATACTCTATGCCCCTTTGCTCACCCACTCTGCCAAGCAGGGAGATTCGAGTAGAGTCGAGGCCATCTTGAGCGAGCTAGAACGAGATGGTGTCTCCCTCTCCATGTCAACTCTGAGCATCGCGCTGGACTGCTATCGCCACAGGTACGACCTAGCCCCTATGATCTCCATCTGGAATCGCATCTTCGAAAAAGCCACTGAGAGATCAAACGATAATCACGACTTCAACTTCGATGCGCCCCCCTCCACTCCCACTTCAGGCCCAGCAGCGCTGTACTCGGGCCGTCGAGCGGCGCGAAGAGGCGATACTGACTCGCGTCTGAGCCAGGTCAAAGTGAGCCCTGTGCGGAGGAATGCTCTGTGTCTGCCTCTCTCCATCATGCTCGATGCCCTCGCAAGCGAGGATCGACACGAGGACATCGCCGAGATCTGGTCCGACGTGCGCTCTGCTGGCTTCGCTTTTGATCCTTACAACTGGAATCAGCTCGCCGCTGCCCTCGCTTCTGCCGGACGTACAGAAGACGCTCTGCGCGTGCTGGAGAATGTGCTCAATCAGCTGACGCCCGCGACGGAATTGCAGCGGTTGATCCTCAAGGGACGTCAGGCGAGCAGACGCGCACGAGGAAGGGGCGAGAAGGAGGGAGATTCCACTGGCAAGGGCAAGGAGGGTGCGAGGAACGAAGACCAGACTTTGGGAATCAGTCGAGGTCCCACTCGAAGGGCCCAGCGTGAGATCTCCGGTGGTCAAGTCTTCAGTGGCGAGCCTCCGCGGGCCAGAGGCAACGGCTTGGAGGAGGACCCCGGCGAAGAGGGGGACGAAGCCTGGGATCGTATCGCCGCTGATGGCCTCTCGGGCCGCTCGACAGCCGATCAGGCTGATGGCACTGCCACTGCTGAGGGTGTAGAGGAGAGGCGAGAGATCCTCCGTCTCCTCGACGAGCAGAATCTTCTTGATCAGAAGAGACCCTTCTGGAAGGCACAGCGCAACACGCTTCTCCAGATCGAAGCATCCCTATTGCGCTTCTCCCAGCAGCATCAGCAGGGGCAGCAAGGGCAGCAAGAAGGGTCACTAGGTCCCGAGGGCGAAGCCGAAGGTGGAGGTAATCCCAATGGCGAGGAAGTGGGAGTGGAAGTGGGAGAGGGAGAGCAAGAGGCTCGCACCCTGCGTCTACTGCAGCGCTACCCTCGTGCGGCAGAAATTCTCGAGGCGCACAGAGCAAGAGAGGCCTTTGTCAGGGGTGAGGAGCTCTCGAGGGCGGAGAGGAGCAGAAGGAGTTCGTACGCTTACTAGCTTAGGGGAGAGGCGTAGCTGAAGGGAGGGAGAGGGGAAGAGGAGGTGGGAAGAGGGGAGGCACGGGAAAAGGGAAAGGAGGGAAAGAGAAGCGGTTTGTACCCCATCATTGGCTCATGACAACAGTATCACTATTAGCATCACTCCGTCCAAGCATTGCCATCCCGCATACACGAAAGACCAACGGACAGACAGAGTGGCTGAGGCCCCCAGTACGGGTGACTGTATTGAGACTGAATGATGAGATTGGTGGTGGTGGTGGTGTGCTGTGATGAAGTTGGTTTTGTTTGGTGCAAAGCCTGCCTGCCTCCCTGCCCACCATGAGGTCCATGTAGTCTTCGACCCTTACTTCTACTCTTTTGCCTCCTCTTCCTCCTCCATCTCCCCTCGACGGTAGATCTCCCTTTTTCATCTTTCTCTCCCTCCCTCCGATCGATGATACTTGCGCCGAGGCGACGTCTACCTGCGGTTTTGCGGCGAGTCTGGGTCCTCGTCGGCACTGTGAGGTAGGGAGAGGAGTGAGTCCGGTCAGTACTGCGATGTTCAACAAGGAAAGGGCAAATCTCCAGCCCACTCCCTCGGACCTCTTGCCGCCCCTTTCCCCCCCCCATGTCCACCTCATCTTCCGATCAAACTCACACATTGAGCAGCAGCGATCCCGAATCGAGCATGATCCTGTTCTGGCTTCCACTGAGAATCGTAGCGATATCCCTTGCCGCCTCCAATTTCCTGAGCTGTAGGAATCCCTTGGACTTCTTCATTGCCTCTCCGATGAGCTCGGCTCCCTTTGCCTCTCCCTGCGCCCGCACAATTGTAGCATTCTTCTCTTGCAGAGCTTGGTCCACCAAGAAGGCGGCTCGTAGGGCCGTCTGCTGAGCTACTTGCTTGGCTTCGACTGCGTGGGTGAATTCGGGAGAGAAGGCGACGTGGGTGAGGGAGACGTCGTCAAGGAGGAGATTGAAGCGACGTGCTCGCTCTGTAAGATTCTCCCGCACTAGACGCGAGACCATTTCACGTTGAGTGATGAGCTGCGAGGCATTGAATTGGGCTACGACGGACTTGAGGACTTCGTTGACGATGGAGGGTAGCACCCTCTCGTCGTAGTCTGCACCCAGCTCCCGGTAGATGGTAGGCAGGGCCTCTACTGCTGGCCTGGAGAGGACACGGCAGGTGATGTTGACCATCTGCAGATCCTTTGTACCAGTCAGACTGGGAATGCTGCGCGGCTTGGCTCGCACGTCGTAGTCAATGGGTGTCTCGATCCATGGGATCTGCGAAGGAGAGATGAGAGGTAGGACGCTGTTCAGAGAGTGGCTCTCGGGGGTCATGAGGGACGCAGGCGGTAGGAGCTCACCATGAAATGTGTTCCTTCTGGGTAGATCTCTGACTTGACACCCGTAAATCTCGAGTACTTGACTGCCCTGTGACCTCCATCAACTGTGGACAAGAGAGGGACAATGGCGGCATACAGACACCCATCAGTCATCCAAATGCCACGGCCTGTGCAGATCTTCCTGCTCTCCTCGCAGGTGGCCTCGGCTGAGCCACTCACCATTGAACAAGCTCTGACTGATGGCGAAACCTCCACCGACGAGTAGGATCAATCCCGAGCCTCCTAGCAGTCCACCGGACGGTCCTGGCCTTCCTCCACCACCACCGCCGCCCCCACCACCTGCGCGGATCTGCGCCTCTGCCTGCTTCCTGGCCTGCTCAAAGAGGCGGCCCAGCGCCTGTCTTCCGCCGTTGGCTGCCATTTGGGGAGCGTGTGAGGAGGTTTCAGCAGCGTAGGAGAGGATGTACCCAAGAGTGTGGGTGTGAAACTGTGCTGATGCTGCTACTGCTGCTGCTAGTGTAGGATGAAGTGAGCGATGGCGGCGAGTGGTCGGTGGTGATGGCTCTCGGCTGAGTGATTCCTCGGAGTGAAGCGCGGCGGGCGTGAGGTCAGCGCCTTTCCCACAATTCCACCGCGCGTTGTGCCTGGGCCACTCAGGTCCCACTCAGTCCGCCCGCTCCACCCAAGGCACAGATACAAGTGCAGCATACACGCACATCCAGGTGCAATGGTCGCACGCCGTCAGAGATGTCATATAGTCGCCAGCCGATAGCGAGACATGGGTGCTCAGACGTTGAGCAGTGTGTAGTATTCGCTTACTCCCGTCAGTGATGTTCACCTAAACAACATCCATCTGGATCTTGTGATGTAGATTCACAGCCTCAAGGGTCCATGACAAACTGTTCGTCTGCAGTCGTGCGCTTCTCCATCATGGGAGCCGTCTGCAAGGAAGTCTGTCCGGTTTTGGAATGCTCTCTCATCTCACTTAGGTGCGGCATTGATATCTGTCCACTCCCGACTCCTTCATCCGCGCCTCCATTCAGGCCCGCCAGCACCTCTTTGCGCTCCACAGGGGAACGCGAGATCTCGGCCGGCAACCCCGCTGTGCTCAGATGCGCTGCGCGTGATGTAGAGATGGGCGAAGTGGACAGAGCCAGTAGTTCGGCGCGGGTGTAGGTGATCTTGGTCCTGGTGACAGTGGCGGTCGTAGGGAGAGATTGAGCAGGTGTGAGCTCAGAGGCCGAGCTTGAGGATGAGGACACCATCTCGCGCCTACTCACCCTCCTGGAGTGGTGCCAAGTGCGCTTTGCACTGGGGACTGAGCAGTGAAGGAGGGACTAGGGCGCCCATTCGACTTTTGCTGCATCGAGATGGCACCTGAGCCTGCTGAGCTCGACATTCTGTTGTGACCGTTAGCAAGTGCCAGCGTAAAGATCCTTTGGGACGTAGTCGAGCTCAACTCTCGAATGACCAGAGCGTACAACGATGGAACGACAAGGCTAGGGTTCGTGTCATTGATGGATGCTCGACTTCGTTCCCCCCGAGCAGAGAGGGTTGCTACATGGTTGCAACCCGGTAGCAACCAACGCCTTGGCACAAAGTGTTGGTCTAAAGTGGAGAGCAACACGACGCGCCCCGTCCTTTCCGCCCGGACTGCTCAGGGGGAAGACCAATAAACACGGCCTCTGACAAGACACAGTCAGGTCGTTGCGATGTAGCAGTCGGCATCGATGGCCCACATGGACATCGAGTATGACGACCGCACGCACGAGGGAACTGCTTCTTGCTTGCACGAGGTCGCCGTGTATTTCTACAAAACGTGTGCCTGCCCAGCCACAAACACGGCGTGACAGTGGGGTGCAAGGAAGGAGGCTTGAGGATCTCCTACCACATGCTCCCACTTTCGCTCTTCACCCTTCATATGAAGGCAAGAGGAGACATTCCGCCGGTACGAGACGATCATGCCGCTGCTCATCGCACATCTACAGGCCATGTGGTCTGCGTCACTAGGACGTATAGTGGTGGGTCCTGCATAAGCATCGGCATCATTGCCGGCGGCCGAAGCCGAGACTCCTCCATCTCCCCCGCTTTACTACCCTTCTAGTAGACGTTCTCTACGTCGTTTCGAACTTCTCGCCATTTCTGCCGCTGCCTGCCGACGGTCCAGAGCAATGTAGTGTGTTGGTATGAAGCATTACAAGCAGTGGTCACAGGCACGCGCGCAGGCCGGGGGCCGGCGAAAAGTGGAAGTATACAGAAGTTCTGTGCATGAGCGCGGAGCTCCAATGGCGTAGGGTGGTGGTTGAACGATCGTCTACGGCATGTCGGCACAGATCCGCTTCGCCCTGGCCGGTAATCTACACAGATTTTCCTCTGCTCTACTGGCCGACCAGCTGACTCGGACGAGTGAAGATCCGCACTTTCAGGTGTATGGGTCTCGGCTGCAGGCACAACGTGCAGCTGACGGTGTGCGGTAAAGTGAGAAAGAGGGACCCCGGAAGAGAAGCGGAGGCGTGGCAGGCAGAAAGAGAATTCAGGCGGCGTCGGGGAGCGCGGCGGCGGGTTTGCGTGGCGGAGCGGCGCGAGTCTTCTCTGAAGGAGCAGCTGCACGCCAAACGCGGACATGGCCTGTTTCACTGCTTCTGCCGCACCACGCCGCCGCTCCCGCCGTCGGGAACACACCCCGATGGGCAGGCCCAGCAACCCAAGGCAGAGGACAGGGCCAATCAATTACGAACAAGAGAGGGGGGACCGTCCCTCCCTTCATCCGTGTCTCAATCTACATCCTCCAATTGCCGTGTCCGTCCCGTAAGACTCTTCATCTCCTCCTCCCATCTCCCATTGTCCCCACTATCTCTCAAACCCCCCACGCTCTTTTACGGTCTCTTCTGCAAGTACCAACCCACACTCTTTTCAACACCTGTCCAACGTAAAACACATCAATAACCGAAGATTCATTCGCCCTCCTCTCTGAAACTGCCCACACTCTTTACCCTGGGACCTCATCCTCCTCGATCACTTTACTACAAAGATAGCGCTCGAACCTCGTCTTCCTCTCAGACTTGACAACTCTTCCCCCTCTCAATCTCCTTTCTTCGGCACACACTCGCCTTCTCTTACACTCTCCCAACCCACGATCCTTTATTCTTCTCATAATGAGGCCCACACTCTCTCTCATCGTCGGCATGGCCGTAATGGCTGCCGGACTTGCCTCCGCTAGCGTTGACTCCGCCGTCGACTCGCCTGCTATGGAAGTCGAGCGATCTCTGCCTGTCGTCGAGCGAGCCCCCGGAATGGTGCTCCAGAAGCGACGAACCACAAAGGCCACCTGGTACGGTGGTGGTCAACTCGATAACCCTGCCTGCGGTGGTGCCACCCCCACCGACAACAGCATGGTTGCCGCTGTTTCTGAGAATGGACCTTTCCAGTGTGGTGACCACATCAAGCTCTCCAAGGGTGGTAAGAGCGTCACCGTCAAGGTTGTGGACAAGTGCGCTGGTGAGTATCTTGCTCGTGTATGTCGAGTGTCTCTGCAGACCACGTTCTGACCCTGTTGCTTCTGTCCCATCGTCCATTCGTCTCTCAGGCTGTGGAGCACACCACATCGACCTGACAAAGGGTGCTTTCAAGAAGCTTGGACCCCTGTCGGAAGGTGTCATCCACCACATCACCTACTCCACCTAAAGGTGTCTGTCCAAGATGACTCAAAGAGGGTTCACAAGGCGTCTCCCCCCAGTGGGCTCGCTTGACACAGGGCCCTCTCTTTCCACTGTAGCCTCCACCGATCATACCACGCTCTTTTGACTCCACACTCACGACTCTACCGCAACGTTCGCAATCATACACGCAAGGATGGTCCCGAACATGTCACTGTCCCTCATTCAGCAAATCGCTGAGGACATTTAAACGAAATCTTGCTATTATAAGGCTTGCCGATGCGCTCCATGACTCGCCTTTGAGGCTCTTGTCGAGCTGCTCGCCACTTGCCGCTTTGAACCGATTCACACATCAAGTCTTCCTCATAATACTACTCTTTCGCTTTCATCTTCCACCTCACCTTCACACCCACCTCCAACTTCCCCCCTGCCTTGTGCTCCTGCTCTATAGCCCTGTTTTGATTCTTCATCTTCTTCTCGCTTCGGGTCGCTGGGCGACACCTGCCAGTCCTCTCGTCCCTTGTTTGCTATTCATCTTCTATCCTTCTTTTGACGCTTGCAGTGATCCTGACTGACATTGGTCGACGCCTGTCTCATGCTCTGAAGCTGATTGACGACGCTTGACTCCTATCCTGAGGTTGAGTGAGGCAGACGAGTGTGTCTAGCGCCGGCGGCCGATCGAAACAAGTTCCGCGGCCCCTGTCACGCCCCGCGCCGCGCCTTGGGTGGAGCAGCCGGGGTCGAACGCGGGATGGAAGCTTTACATTTCTCGGCCATTCCTTCCAAGTGCTCCTTCACCCTAAGTTACACCATCCCATCATCGTTATCTTATCATCATCATTACTCGATCATCTGCTCCGTCTATCCCTCTGCTCTGCCGGCTCTGAGCTGTCGCGCTAGCTCGCCTCATTGGCGACGCTGAGTGTTGGCTGGCCCCTCATGGACAATGGAGGAGGTGCCCCACCTCGCTTCCAAGGCAACTTCTTCTCGCAGCCTTCAGCTTCATCAGGATCAGCAGCCGGACCTTCTACCTCATCTACATCCTCCTTTTCGCATCCTCTCTCATCTACTCCTACTCTAACTTATTCAGGGGGGTCGAGAGGAGGACCGGGAGGCAGAGGCGCACGCGCCGGATTTGCGGCTGGAGGTAGGGGTAGCGCTCCTACCCGGGGAGTAGGCGCAAGCAAGCCCTTCGCGAACAAGAGCGTCACGTTCAACAACAATAGTACAGCCAACCCATCCAACCCCAGCACATTTGCCCAGGAAGCCGCTGAGGAGAACGAGGGGGGGGGATCTTCGTCTTTCTCGGCCTTCCACACGGGAGGCAGCAGCGCCTTCGCTGCGCCCATCTCATCTAGCTCATCATCCACTTCGGGATACACTACACCTGTAGCTGATGCTGAGTCTTCAGCTCCTACCTCGACATGGCTGAACCAGGCTGCTGCCCCAAGCCCTGCACCTTCTCATGCTGTTCCGGCCGGAGACAAAGATGGCGCATCCGCGATCTCGGAAGCCGTGGATGTGGATGGCGGCGACGACAGTCGAAAGAAGCGCTTTGCGAGGCCGGCAGGTTCGAATCGATTTCTCGAGATGAAAGCACAGAGGCCGCTCTTGCGGCAAAAGTACATCGATCAAGGCATCCTACCGGATCCGGAGAAACCCCAGCAGCTCTCGGCAGCGACACGCTTCACTGGCAGCTGCATGGAAATGTGCCCTGAATTTGAGCGAGAGGAAAGAGAGTTTCAAGGCGAGGGTGATGAGCTCGAAGTCTATCCCGGGACGACCAAGCTGGACCCAGCGCTGGCTGTCAAGATCTACAGGCGCCCAGCAGCAGGAAGAGAGCTACCTCTACCGGAGGATGTTCGCCCACCTCCCGTTCTCAAGCAGACGCTCGACTATCTTTTCCATACTCTACTACCTTCATCCCCCAACTCGGAGCAGCTATCGCACGTTCAAGGCTTCATCTGGAATCGTACTCGCGCCATTCGTCAAGACTTCATCGTCCAAGGACAGGCTGGCCCTCTCACAATCGAGTGCCACGAGAGGATAGCCAGGTGGCATATCCTCGGACTGCACTGGCGTGGAGGCGGCGTGGACAAGGAAGGTCAGCCGAGAGAGTGGCCTAGTGATCTGGATCCATGGAGCGAACAGCAAGAGCTAGAACAGCTCGCCAAGACATTGACCAGTCTCAACGAGTTCTATGACGATCTTCGAATGTCCACCGGACAGTCTTCGCCCAACGAGGCTGAATTCCGCGCCTACCATCTGATCCTCAACCTCTACGATCCGGAAGTCTTGCGCAACGTCGAGCTGCTGCCGGAGGAGGTCTTCGATGCTCCTATCTTACAGACAGCCATTCGACTTCGAGGTTATGCCCAGAGGTCTAATCGAGGAGGCACCAGCAGAGCCAATGCCCTCAATACGGACGCCCCCATGAACTTCTTCAGTCGCTTCTTCGCCGAGATCAGAGCTGCTGATCAGAGAGTACCGTACTTGCTGGCATGCATGCTCGAGAACAAGTTCGCTCCTATACGAGAAGGAGGACTCAAGGCTCTTTGCTTCAACTACAACAAGGCTCACCGGGGACCATCATTGTCCTTTGTCAAAGAAGCACTTGGAGCAGACACGGAAGAGCAGGTGGAGGAGTGGGCTCAGCTCTGCGGCATCGAGGTGCAGAGGGAAGGTGACAGCGAGCCTGCCCTCAAGCTGAACAAGCAAGTCGAGCTCACAAAGACTCTTCCTCAGTCGTTCTCCCTTTTGGTCGAGTTGAAGAGAGGAAAGTACAATTCGAGGCAGATCATCGACGGTGTTGCTTCGAACGCTGCGCCCTTGCTTTCGAATACGGGACCGACAAACGTTCAGTCGGTGAGCCAAGCTAGGCCTACCAGCCTCAAGCCTGTTTCCTCAGGGTTGGGTAGTGTGAAGCCTCCTCAGCCCGCCAGCACAGTACCTGCTGCCCCTTCATCTGGCTTCTCATTTGGCAGCCAAGCAGCAGCCAAATCTCAGCCTCACACGGGCGCTTTTGCACCAACTCCTGCACTTGCTGCTTCAACGACATCCTCACTCGGCGCCTTCTCTTCGGTCTCATCCCCCAGATTCAATGCCTTTGGGAAGGCTGCTCTACCTAGCAAGACTCAGATGAAAGCGACCGCCTCGCCTTTCCAGCCATCGCAGCCCACGGCGCAGAGCAGTTCTTTCAATGCTCCTTTTGTGGGATTCAAGACCGAAGACGCGAAGATTACCAAAGACAGCAAATCTCTACCTCCTGCTGGACCTCTCGCTGCACCCCCATCTAGCTCATTCGCATCACCTTTGACGACACAACTCGGTGCTTCCAAGCCAACTTCGAGCACCAAGCAGACTTTCTTCTCGTCACCAGCTCTCCCCACAAAATCTTTAGATACCAGCAAGACCGCCACACCGGGCAGTAGCTTTCAATTACCTGCTCCCATCACAAGCACACCTGCAGCAAGCACGCCGACTTCTCTATCTGCACTGGCTAAGGAGCCTCCGCAATTAGCCCTACCGCCTTCCGAGACGGCTTCTGCAGCTGCGGCCAAGGAGGACCAGAGGCGAAAAGAGAAGCGCGAGAAAGTGGTGCAGCGAGCCTTGTCTCAGCTCATAACGGATCAAGCCACATCGGTCGCCAAGCAAGCCCTGCAGAAGGAAGATGGTCGCCGACGCTCGCAAGCTAGGCAGGCCTTCTTGGGCTCCATAAGCGAGAAGCTACTGAGGGGCCTCCAGCAAGACGTGATCGCAAAGATGGCTAGAGATGTCGCTGCAAACGGTCTAGCAGACGAATTTCGAAGGCGGTTCAGTCTGCGATCACACCTTGCCCGCTGGCAGATCAGGCTCGAGCTCCGGGAGGAAAGGGAGAGGCAGAAGGCTCGTCTTGAGGATGTGAGGGCGCAGGTCCTCGAAAAGGGACTACTCGATCAGTCTCTGTCGGCGTCGCGAGGAGGACTCCGTGCGGCGTTGATGCTTCCGGACCTTTCTACCTTGAGCGTCAGTGCGGCGCCGGCTCACCGCTCCTCGAAAATCTTGTCTCAGTCGCGATCCAGCTTTGAAGAAGACGACCAGCTTCGAACATCCTACAACCAGAGCAAAGCGGAACGTTCCCACCTCTGGGAGCAAGGAACCTTCTTCGTTTACATCGCAAGCCACATGGCCTCTCTTATTTCTCGTTGGCGACCATTGGAGATGGGTGCCTGGTCCGTCTTGCTCAGCCTCCCCGACGATGACTCGGCAAGTACATGGCTCAAGCACAAATTTGGCCTTAGCGACGAGCAGCCGCAGAAGACGATTGCTATCGCGCCTGACGTGGATGTTCGGGGAGAGCTGGTAGACGGCCCGGCAGAGGTGGAGCACCGGGACACAGGACTACTCGTGTTCGTCTTGTCAGCCGATCTGGCTGCTGCTGGTCAAGAGGCCGACGATGAACAGGATATTTGGGAACTAGAACAGGAGCGTTTCAGAGCGTTGGAGGAGAGCGAGGCGCTCTCGATTAGCAGGTTCTCGCCGCGGTTGCTCGTCATAGACTGGAGGACTGGAAGCCGAGAGACAGAAGTCAAGACTCGACTCGGACTCGACGCAAGTGCCAAGCCCTTCTGGAAGGACGTCGCGGTCTGCAATCTCGGCGGCGCATCCCAGCCTGATGAGCTTTTTAACTCAGCGGTCGCTACTCTCCTTAACGATGTCTCGTTGCGACCTCGTAAAGTGGGGCCTAGCTTTGCAGAGACTGTCTTGCCTCTGCGTCGACCTTGGAGCAACGCAGCCGTTACGATCGAAGGTCTTGTAGCACGTCTGCCCGCCGAGCTAGCTGCATCGACTAGCGTGGCCCTGGAAATTTTCGCAGCGATGCTCAGTCTGGCCAATCATACTCTGGAAGCGATCTCGCAAGCATCTGATCAAGAATACCCTGGAGGGGATCTCCTGCTGCCAAAGTCCAAGCTTGCCTCCTCCCTACAGATTCATGATAGCCTCAACCCTGCTGCAGCATTGGCACAAGCGAGTCGGGAAGTCATTGATCAATGCGAAGGGGCACACGAAGGGGAAAGCCTCTACCTCAGTCGCGCGCTCATTGGACAAGCCCAGCAGCAAGTCGGCAAGCCCTTCCCAATCGCAGCCCTCTTGGAGAATCTACTGCAGAGCAAGCTCGACCTCGTCGGTGAGAGCTGGATCGCTCGTCCTTTGGCCGAGCAGGCGGATGTTCGAGAGAAGTTGGAAGAGGATGCACGATTTGTTCAGCAGGCTGCGGAAAGCATCGTTGTTCACACGGCCGAGAAGGTGCGAGTGTTACAGGAGCAGCAGGCAAAGGTCCTCAAGGACCTGAGGAAGAAAGAGTTAGAAATGGAGATGGAGATGGAGGTGAACAAGGTGATTCCCAGCAGTGGAAATGAAAAGAAGCGCAGCGCGAGGAGCAGTGCTGGCTCTACTTCCCCCTTTACACCTAGGAAGAGGTCTCGCTCTTTTGGCACTTCCCACCACGGCACAGGCGTCGGTGTCGGTTCTCCTGCCGTACCTGTCTTTGTGGGCACTCCGGACGTACAGAGATTGAGGGGATTGATTGCAAGCGCGAAGGGATTGTTGGCTGGACAGACTGTCTGAGAGGAGAGAGGAGAAACATGTAGCGGAGAGGAATAGCGATGGGAGAATTGGGATCTTGTATTTGTACATAACTTAATATTGCTACTTTGATGTCATCTAAAGAATTTCAACCGAGACAATTTTGTGTGCTTCTCTCCTCCTCCTTCTCCTGAGTGTTTCAAACCTCCTGAATAACAGCTTACTTGTTCAAGCGCTCTTTGATGAACCCCTCCAGCTCCTTGCCACTGAGAATACTGTCCACGACTCCCTTGGCCTTGTGCTCGAATCCAAGACTGCCAAGCAGATCCGGAGAGGTAAAGCTGTTCTCTTTACCCCATACCAAAAAGGCAAAGCACTCGCTATAAGGGTTCTCTTTCCCTCCAATGAATTCATAGAAGTCGTCTCGCGTCTTGAGTAGGCGAGGTTCACCTTGAGCGCTTGGGTGTCCAAGACGCTTTAGCTCCGAAGCGACGGCGGCGAAGTGTTCCCTCCAGGCAAATGGCTTCTTCTCAGCTGGGAAGACAATGTGAGTCTTTTGCTCTCCCGGTTGGAGGTTTTCGAGATGCGAGAGGAGTGCGACGTACGCATCGACTAGGTCGTGAACCCAAACTGCATTCCAGTGGCCCGAAGTGCCCTCGTGCTCGCCTGCCTCTGGTAGAGCGACTGTCCCGCGGTCGATCATGGCCTGTGTGAGCATGGGTGTCTGGATGGAGAGACGCTTCCAAGGTTCTGAACCGATACCGTAGATCAAAGGAGGCATCATGATGGACCCAACGACGTTGTGCTCCTTCTCCTTTGCAGGGTTCAAAAGACGCTTCAGCAGAGGACCATCCACATGGTGGTGGTAGGCCTGCGGGTGGATTCGCTTCAGGAGAGCAGCATCGTCCAGATCTACATCTGAGAGAGTCTTCTCTTCGGTGCTCTTCCCTGCGAAGCCCCGCGCGGAATTGACCAGCTCGTCATTTCCACTCGTCTGGATGTACACGGCTCTTGAGGCATTCTTGGGTCGCGAAGTGAGACCGTCGATGATAGCAAAGGCGCCCTTATCATCATCGGCCGAGGCGGCGTGAATGACAATGTCCGACTTGGCAGCCCATTCGGCAATGACGTCGTGGTCCTCTAAAGAGCCCAGGATGGGACTGATGCCGAGCGAGGAGAGGGAATCGGCTTGCTCTTTGCGGCGAGTGAGAGCATGCAGCTTGAGGTCGGGACGTACCTCCTTGAGCTTCACCAGAAGGGAGCCGCCGATGAGGCCGGGACCTACGAGAAAGAGGGTCTTCTGCGATGACGAGGATGACATGTTGACAGCTCACTTGTGAGTATGATATTGGCGAGAAGTAAGGCGTTCGAGCATGGCGAGGTGAAAGTATAAGTAGTCTCGCACAAAGCGGGGAAATGGTGGCACTCCGCCGGCACGCAGGTGGAGGTTGCATCGGATATAAGGACGGAGATGAGACTGACGTGCTCTCGCTCTCGGGGGTTGATTAAACAGGGTGTCACTGATATAGACGGACAAGTGGCGAACGATTGTGAGGAGAAGTTCTCCGACTTGGCTACCTCTTCTTTGTCGCCTTGACAAAGATATGTGGGATGAGGTCGGCCGTCGTCTGTAAGGGAGGAGAAATGGCGATCGAGTCAGGCTCTTCCCGCGCAGCAAAATCTCATCTCGAGAGCTCTAAATGACTCACCTGAACAGTGGGCCTCTTGACAACGACATCTTCCCAGCAATTGAGGGACTCCATTGAAGCTAGCGTATCTCTGTTGAGCTCACAACCATTCGCCGCAAAGCTCCACAGAGGCGTGATGAGGTCTTGCAGTAACCGAGTGGTAGGGTGCGGTGAAGTGACGTGCTCGATCTGAAGTACGGGAAGTACGGGAAACGGAATGCAGAAGATAAGCAGATATCCTTGTATAGAGCACTCCACTTCGATAGCTTCCTCACCAGAACCAACGTCCCACCGGGTTTCAACAACTCCACGCAGTACTTGAGGTGCTTCTTTGGCTGAGGCATGGAACACAGGCATTGTACCAGGATGAGACTGTCGACCGACTCCTTTGCGATGCCGTATTCAGACCGCAGAAGACTCTTCTCTTGAATGCCCAGAGGGATGACAGTGGTCTTGCGCTGGAAAGAGGGACCGCGAGCTGTGATGGTCTTCTTGAGGACCTTGACGAGGGGTAGGAAAGGTTCCAAGGCGAAGAGCTTCTCGATCTGGTATATAGTATATAGTAAGGTCACAGCCTTTAGCTCAGACATTCACACCCTCGCTCTTCGACTCTGACTGCTCACCTTGTCTTCGTCGTAGTATTTGATCGTCTCTCCACTTCCGGCGCCTACCTCGAGGACTGTGCCATAGGCAAGACTGACAAACTCCTTTTTTGCGTCATACATCATCTTGTCTCCCTCTTTCAATATAGCTGGAGACCCATTGCCCCAGATAGCATCTCTCCATGCCCATGGGCTGAGCAACTTGGAGGGACTGAGTGTAGCGAGCTGCTGCACGATGGAGATGGGCAGGCCATAGAGGAAGATGTAGAATGCGAGGATGACTGGCTTAGACAGGCCCACGATGGCCTCCAGCAGGGTTGGTGAGTGAGGCTGCGATGTTGTGAGCTTGACTTGGGCAGTGCCGGCCATGGTGATTGCGGGATAGCGAGCTGCGTGAGGTTCTCATCCGTATCGTCACGATGAGCACGTCGTGTGGGCGTGGGTGGTAGGCTTCCCGTGCGGGGGAGGCGCGTGGGCGGAGGCTGCGCGCGGTGGGCTGCCTCACTTCCGCAAAGTGCAAAGGCAGCAGCGAGTCAGTTGCAATTCTTCTCGTATTGCAGCATCACCTCGCACAAGACGCCTTGATCGTACCGAGCAACACAACAAGCAGCTTTGGATGCTCCTTGGCTCAGCATTCAAAAGATCCACACGTAGCATACTACCTTCCGTACAGGCTTCGCGATACGTCACACCCATTCGCCGCATAGCAACCCCTCTCACGACCCCTAGCCCCCGCACCATGTCTTCGTCGAGCCCGGCAGCCGGCAAGGACGGCAAGGCTGCTCCTGCTGCCGACCCAGACATGGCCATCGCCACCAGCCAGCCATCAGCCAACGGTGAAGCCGGCGGTGACTTGGTCCCTGGACCAGATGGAACCCTCATGACCAAGACGGCAGCCAAGAAGGCCACCAAGCTGGCAGAGGCAGCTGCCAGGAAAGCTGGAAAGGCCGCCATTGCAAAGGAGAAGACTCCTGCGGCCGCCGCTGCTGGCGGAGAGAGCAAAAAGAAGGAAAAGGCAAAGAAAGAGAAGGAAGCAGAGCCGGAATGGATCAACAATACCGTACCTGGACAGAAGAAGGACCTTTCGCAACCCATGGAGGCGGGCTACAACCCAGACCATGTAGAGGCATCTTGGTATGCTTGGTGGGAGAAGGCAGGCTTCTTCACCCCAAAGGAGCCGTCGGAGAACGACCCATATGACCCAGACAAGACGTTCGTCGTCCCAGCTCCACCTCCCAATGTCACTGGATCGCTGCATATCGGACATGCTCTGACCATCTCAATTCAAGATACGCTCATTCGCTACTACAGGATGAAGGGATACAGAACCCTCTTCGTTCCCGGCTACGACCACGCCGGTATCGCCACCCAGGCTGTCGTAGAGAAGCGTATTGCCAAGCTCGAAGGCAAGTCGCGATACGACTATGGCCGTGAGAAGTTCATCGAGAAGGTCTTTGAGTGGAAAGAGGACTACCAAGCTAGGATCTCGAACCAGATGAGGCGGTTAGGAGCAAGTTACGATTTCACCAGGGAAGCTTTCACGATGGATGAGACACGATCAGCTGCCGTCATCGAGACATTCTGCAAGCTGCACGAAGATGGAATCATCTACCGAGCAAACCGTCTGGTCAACTGGTGCTGCAAGCTCAACACCACATTGTCCAACCTGGAGGTCGACCAGAAGGAGCTCAAGGGACGGACATTGCTGAACGTCCCAGGCTACGATGCAAATGAGCGGGTAGAGTTCGGTGTCATCGTCAGCTTCGCATACAGGATCAAGGATTCGGCTGAGGGCGAGAAGATCATCATCGCAACCACTCGTCCGGAGACGATGCTGGGAGATACTGCCATTGCCGTCCACCCCAAGGACCCTCGTTACACACATCTGCACGGCAAATTCGCCGAACACCCCTTCTTGCCCGACCGAAAGATCCCCATCATCACCGATGACCAAGCTGTTGATATGGAGTTCGGAACAGGAGCAGTGAAGATTACCCCTGCCCACGATCCCAACGATTACGAGGTTGGTGTACGACACAAGCTAGAGTTCATCAACATCCTCAATGAAGATGGAACGCTCAATGATGAAGCTGGAGAGTTCAAGGGTCAGAAGCGCTTCCACGCACGTAGGACCGTTGTTGAGGCTCTGAAGAAGGAGGGCCTCTACGTCGAGACGAAGGACAACCCTATGATGATCCCTGTCTGCTCAAGGTCAGGAGATGTCGTCGAGCCTTTCATCAAGCCGCAGTGGTGGGTCTCCTCGCGCCCTCTGGCCGACAAGGCCGTCGCTAAGGTCAGGGAACAGAACATGGTCATTGTGCCAAAAACTACCGAGAACGAATTCTTCAGGTGGATGGAGGTGATCACCGACTGGTGCATCTCTCGTCAGCTCTGGTGGGGTCATCGAGTGCCAGCTTACTTTGTCAATGTTGAAGGCAGAGCACAGGACAAGGATGACCCGGCAGCCAGTGGCAATTGGGTTGTTGGCAGGAACGAGGCCGAGGCTCACGAGAGGGCGAAGGTCATTGCGGCTGGCCAACCTTACACCTTGGAGCAGGACGAAGACGTCCTTGACACATGGTTCTCGTCCGGTTTGTGGCCATTCAGTATCATGGGCTGGCCGGGCAAGACGGACGATATGAAGCACTTCTACCCCAATGCCCTCCTCGAGACGGGATGGGACATTCTGTTCTTCTGGGTCGCTCGAATGGTCATGCTGGGTGTATACCTGACGGATTCGATTCCTTTCAAGGAGGTCTTCTGCCACGCAATGGTGCGAGACGCTCATGGTCGCAAGATGTCAAAGTCGCTCGGTAACGTCGTCGACCCTCTGGATGTCATCGCAGGTATCGAGCTCGAGGGTCTCCATGCCAAGCTTCTAGAGGGCAATCTGGGCGACGAGGAGGTCAAGAAGGCTGCTGCTGGTCAGAAGAAGGACTATCCCAAGGGTGTCCCTCAGTGCGGTACCGACGCCCTGCGTTTCGCTCTGTGCGCCTACACTTCTGCCGGACGTGACATCAACCTGGACATCATGCGAGTGGAAGGCTACCGCAAGTTCTGCAACAAGCTCTGGAACGCTACCAAGTTCGCCCTTGCCAAGCTGGAAGGAGGTTTCCAGCCACCTTCGGAGAACAAGCCTACGGGCTCCGAATCTCTCGTAGAGAAGTGGATTCTGCACAGATTGGACGTGGCTGCTGCCGAGGTGAACGCAGGTCTGATGTCACGCAACTTTATGAATGCCACTTCGGCCGCGTACAACTTCTGGCTGTACGAGCTCTGCGACGTCTACATTGAGGCGATCAAGCCCATTACGGATGCCGGTAGCGAAGAGCGCGCCAGGGCCTCTGCACAGGCTACCCTTTACACATGTCTGGACGAAGGATTGAAGTTGCTTCACCCCTTTATGCCCTATGTGACTGAAGAGCTATGGCAACGACTCCCTCGTCGTCCATCGGAGAAGCACGAGTCCATCTGTCTCACCTCCTTCCCCGAAGCTATGCCAGAGCGCAACGACGCCAAGTCCGATGGTCAATTCGACCAAGTCTTTGCAGCCGTGAAAGCCATCCGTTCCCTTGCTGCCGACTATGCAATCCAGTCGAACATTCAAGCATTCCTAGAGACGAGCGATAGCGCTACCTCGCAACTTCTCTCTTCGCAAAAGGAGGTAGTACACACCCTCGTCAAGGGTTGCACATCCGTCGAAGTCACCTCCTCTTCCTCCATCCCAGACGGATGCGTCTTTCAAACCCTCTCTGCCACTACCAATGTTCACATCCTCGCAAGAGGAGTCATTGATGTGGCAAAGGAACTTTCCAAGTTGGATAAGAAGCTACAACTGAATGAAGTGGCCATTAAAAAGGAGGAGACGATGCAGAGTAAACCAGAGTTTGGAAAGATGCCGGAGAAGGTTAGGGAGCAGAGCGAGATCAAGGTCAAGGACCTCAAGGCTGAGAGGCAGGCATTGGAAGTTGCGAAGCAGAACTTTGCTAGGATTGGAGGGGATGCTTAGAGTCAGGAGGAAGAATTTCGAGGACCTGATTCACTATGCTATGCTACGCTGAGAATGCAATGGTATGAACTTTCTAGATATGAAGTATGCTGCGATGTGTCATCTATGCTCTGTATGTGATGGTCGCGACAGATCTACGAAATTCCATCTACTCTCGTCCCTCTGCTAAGCGCTTCCCAGCCCTATCAATCATACCCTCCTCTAAACAAAGGTCGATTGCCACCCCCACTCCCTTTTCCACTCCCATTCGTCGTTACCCCACTTCTAAGCACACGACCACTCTCACTCTTACTCTTGTTCTTATTCTTACTCATCGCCTTTTGAAAATCTTCTGCCGTTGCAAAAGAAAAATCGTCGTCCGCACCCCGACTTCCACCAGCATTATCGGTAGAAAAAGGTCCAAAGCGAGGCTCACCAGAACGCTGAGGTGGTCCACCCTTGTACTCTTTGCTCCCTGATTGAGTAGCAGTAGCAGCAGCAGCATTAATAGCAGCGCCTTGGGAGCGGGCAGCTTCCTTTGCGGTCTTCAGCTGGGCCGCTTGGGCTTTATCGCGCATACTTTGGGCCTGCCGGGAAGTCAAGGGTGTTGGAGGCTGCTGCTGCTGCATTTGCTGCTGCTGATGTTGTTGCTCCAGCTGCTGCTGCTCTTGACGTCCTAGCTCCAGCTTGGCTGCAATGCTCGCGTCTCTGATCATCGTCTTGTTCTTGCTCTTGGCATCCGCCTTGGTCTGAGCCTTGGTATTGGTCTTACCATTGGCTTTAGCATTGGTTGCTGCCGTAGCGCCTTTAGACTGCTCTGCAGCCTTCGCCTCTGACTTCCTCGCCTTTCGACGAGCAGTCTTCTGGCGAGCCTTCTCCTGCTTCGCTTCTATCTCTGCAGCATCCAGCTGTGGCTTTGCAGTAGTCTTTGCAGCCTTTGCAGGCGCGGCGGCCTTAGTAGCTTTCTGAGTCGACTTGGGCGAACCAGCTTTGGCAGATGACTTAGCTACTGCCTTCTTCGATGGCTGAGGGTCCGCCGCTGCCTTCTTCTTCTTCGACGCCGGCGCTGGCGGCTTGACATTTGCCTCCTTCAGTCTTGAAGCCTCCCTGTTCTTTGCGGTAGCCTGAAGCTTCCGTTCAACCTCCCTGTTCCTTGCGGCAGCCTCGAGCTTCTGACGCTCTGGTTTGCTCAACTTCTTGCCATTACGATCGATGAGCTTTGCACCGCGGTAGGTATACCCGCGCGACTTGAGATCTTGCTCTATGCGAAGATTGGCAGCAGCCTGCTTCTCCAGAGCTTTGATCAGCTTCTTCTCCTTCTTCGACTTCTTCTTGGGAGGTGGAGTGTCAGCTTGAGGAGTTTCATTGAGCGCGAGGCCGGCTTCGTGGAGATTGTGCCACTCAAAGTCTTCGTCGATGTCAGATCCTTCAGGCGCCCGTCTCTTTCTAGAAGCGCTGATGGACAGGTCGATGGGACTCTCTTCTCGACTCTCGACCGCCGCCGCCTTGCCTGTGCCCTTCGTTGTGCCGTCTCCGTTTGCGATCCCGTTCGCGGTGCCCATCATCGTGGTCCTGGAAGCTGATGCGGTCTGCGAGACTCCTGTGGTCTGGAACGAGGTGGGAGTCATGGGTCAGAGATGAAGAGAGAAGGAAAAGAGAGAAAAGAGGCAGTGTCGGCGACGATGCGCTGCGCTAGTATGTAAAGGCAACTTTGACTCTACTCACGTTCTGGAGCTCTAGGTGAATCATCTACTCCGCCGTATCGCTTGCGGTCCCTATCCCTCTGACGATCCTTGTCCCGCTGAGCTCGACTACTCTTCTCCTCTCGACGATCTCTCTCGGCTCTGCCTCTGATGCTCTTGGGAGCACGGGCGAAGACGCCGTCTACGTAATCTTCAAGACTTTGCCCGCCCCTTGCTCCTCCTCGACTCGATCCAGCAGCGCCTCCGAAGAAGTGCATAGAGGCATTTGGGCCCACAGAGACATCGTACATGTCTGCTACAGGATGGGCTGCCTCTGGCATCGGCGGAGGTGCTAGCTTGTGGGCAAAGGGGCCAGAAAGAGAGATGAATTCGCTGAAGATCGAGGGCTCGCCATTCCTTGCATAGGCTCGGCGTGGTAGAGGACAGTCGTCGCCCCAGTGAGTCCCTCGAGCGGTGCAATTGTAGCACCACTGCACCTGGAGGTCAGAACGGAGGGGAGAGAATGAGTAGAGGGTCATACGATCTCTTCACTCCACTCGGCTACTCACCGCTGGATCCCAGTCCGGACTTGGACCGCCTCCACGAGCGCCCATGTAGCTTGACTCTCCGTCCTCACTGTCCGTATCCATGTCACTGTCGGCCTCTTTGCGCCTCTTCCTACTCCTCCCAGTGTAGTGATCTGGATCCCGATCTTCTTCCTCTGCGCGAAGACTGGCATACTTGCGAGCTCGGAACTCCTCCCACTGGTCCTCGTCAACGTAGGTATAGATTCTCCAGTATGTGGGACAGTTGCGCTCGGTATGGTTCGAGGAGCCACATCGGCGACAGGATACTTCGCCACGAGCTGTAGGTCGAGATTTGCAATCGGCGACTCTGTGACCTCGCTGACCACAGCGGAAGCAGGAGATGCCTACAGGACAGCTGCGAGTGTTGTGCTCGTCCATTGCCCCGCAAGAAGCACACTGAGCGAGGCAGGAAGATGCAATGCCGGAGACTTATCAGTTCTCCTCCCATGATGACCACGGCGGTGCTCTCTCGTATCCTCCACTCACCGATATATGCGAGCATTCCTTCTTGACATGTCCCTTCTCTCCGCAGATCTCACATTCCTTGAATTGCTTCCTCTCCTCTGCCTTGGCTGCATCATAGTATCGTGACACGCTAGCATCTCCATCCATCTGTGTGAAATCGCCAAGATGGCCCTGGATCTCCGAGTCCTCCTCCTCCTCCTCATCTTCCTCGTCTGCCTCCTGCTGCTGGCCGGGAGATCGAGGAGCGGGAGCGGATACGTGGTCTGGTAATAACAGACGACTTGTGTCTGCTTGTGGTGGCGGGGAAGGTGTTGACGAGCTCGCACCGGCAGCGATGGGTGGCGGTCTGCCTTCTAGGAGCTGATCTGTGTCTCCCTGCACGTCTATGGTGAAGGGCAAGGGAGAGTCCTCCCGGCTGCCTCCCGCTCTCCTTTTGCCAGAAGACGAGGAGGCATCGAGCTGGTGGGCATCCCCTGCGGCCCAATCATATGGACCATCGTCTCCTGGACGATAGGCCATCCTGCAGGCCGAGTCGTGGGCTGGGAAGTGATGGGTACTGAACGGGATTGGCAGAGGCAGACGCGGGAGGAAGCAACGTACGCCTGTGAGAAAATTTGGTGGTGAGCCCTGCGTGTGTGGAGCAGAGGCGCAATCAGCCAATCAGGACCCCGTACGCAGAGGAATTCAATGGCACGATGTAAAACGAGTCTTGGCCCATGAGAGATGACCATGGATACCAGCGTTGAGTCGCATCATCACAGTCACTGTCTTCACCTTGCACCCGCCATGTTGTCAAGCAAGTCGAAGGCGGCGGCGCGAGAAGGGCTGACTCCCGGTCTCGCCATTGCGCTTGCCTTGCACGGACGATGGTCAGGAACGTGCGTGAGCCGCCGTGACACCTTCGATGCAGGTCGTATCCGTCCGATCCTCGTCTTCGACGGCGGAAGGCTGGTGTGTATCCCTACAGCTGAATTGGTCAAGACCAAGAAGAAAGGTGACCCCGGGGCACACACTCGGGCAAACGAAGGAGAGGGCGGCCATTAGCACCCTTTCTTTGAGCGGCTGCCGCAAGCACATTGCAGGTCACTGAGCAACGACGACATGGAGACGTACAAGGGGCTTGCCTTGCTCGACCTCAAGAAGGGTAAGTACAAACGCCGCCAGTGCTAGCATCACTTGTACTGCTCGACACTTGACGTTCGGGAGGTGCTCATTTCACCATCCTCTTACTGTCCCTCAGAATGTCGACTAAGCTCCATTTTCCCCATCGAAACTCGTCTTCTGTACTCAGTCGTATCCCTTCGGATCTTCTTCCTTCGTCTTGTAATCACATTCGATCGTAGAATTGGCAAAAAGCACGTCTACGGTACCGAATGTACGATGCAGCGTGAGGCCGTGCGCGGAGGAATCGGCCGAAAGCCGATTGCGAAGAAGCGAGACGAGTGGAGCAACGGCCCATTGCACCCACATCTCACCTGCCATTACCAAGCTCACCTCGACCGCTACGAGACAATACGAGTGACGATGGCAAGTCTCAGGTGCTCAAGCTTGCGAAAGCTGGTGCTTCAGAATAGCAGCAAGTCAAGTCTGCCCAACTACTTCTCTCCTGGCCCATCGCTGGCACGCACGTTCGCCTCCTCGTCCTCCTCGTCCTCCACCTCTACCTCCCCTGCTTCTTCTTCTTCCTCCTCGACGCTTCCGCCAGTATACGTCTCTCACATCCCCTACCGCGTCCCCTACTCTCTCGGTCTCGCTTTACAAGAAGCCATCTACGCCCTGCGCGGCGAGCCCGAAGTCCTCCTTCTCCTCGAGCACACACCGGTATACACCGAAGGCAGGCGAGGAGCGCAAGACGATGGGAGCACAGCTGCTGCCGAAGCTCAAGCAGAGTTGGAGCGACAGACGGGACAGAGGTTGAGGGAGCTTGGAGCGGATTATCATGTCACCAAAAGGGGTGGACTGATCACTTACCATGGACCTGGACAGTTGGTCGGGTATCCTATTCTGCGCCTGAGCAATATGAATGTGAGTCTCGGCAGGAGACCATGAGAGATGCTTCGGCTTCGGCTCCTGACTGACCATTCATCCTTGATACGGTTCACTCTGCAGCTCTCCAACCGATGCTACGTAGACCGGTTGCAAGACTCTCTCTCCTCCCTCCTCCAATCGCACTACACCCTCCCAACCGTCCCTCCCCCAGATGGCAACACGGGCGTCTGGTCCACTCCCGACCTTAAGATTGTCTCCATCGGTGTTCAAGTCCGTCACCGTATCTCCTCTCACGGATTCGCACTCAATGTCAGTACCGAGGTACTTCCCTGGTTCAGAAGAATTGTCGCGTGTGGAATTCAAGGAAAGGGAATGACTTGCATGCAGAGTGAGATGGCGAGGAGGATTGGAGAGGAGGAGATGCAGCGGCCTGATCGTGGAGCGAGTGAGAGAGAAGGGGAGCGGATGCAAGAAGCTGGTTTCGAAAAGGGGGGAGGAGGAGTGATCAAGGATGGACTAGAGGGGAGGCAAGAGGTGGGAGAAGCCCCACTTGGACCAGAGGCGAAGATGCTTACGGTGCAGTCTGTTGCGCCCCAAGTCGCAAAGGCCCTCGGCAAGACGTTCAAGCGAGAGCTGGTCCAGGCGGATGAGGAGCTACTGAGGTACGAAGCAGACGCTGATGGTGTACTCACAAGGTGTTGGCTGCAAGGCAAAGAAGTAAAAGCGGAGACAGTGTAATATAGCAGCGAGATCTCAGTATCAGTCAAGCATGTAGAAGAAGTGATGATGTTCAGAAGACCACGTGTGAAAGGTGACGAGCTGACAGAGAGACGGAGCAGAGGTGAGAAGGAGACAGATCAAAGATCTCAGTCCTCCTGCGAAGCCATGATAGCATCTCGAATGATCGGTCGACTCTTGAGCAGCGCTTCACCCTTGGCCATAGCAGCCGCCTGGCGTCTCGCTGCTCCGTCTTGTAAGATGAATTTCGACGGACTGCCGCTCGTTTTGACCAGCTCCTGAGAATGATCGGGAGAGGGCGGCTGCTGCTCTTTGTCTTCTTCGCTCAGTTGCTGCTGCTGACTTCCAGGAAGTGAGCGCTCCTTGCGCTTGCCCAGCACCCGGCTCGGCACTGGCCCCTGGGACGCCTCAAGTTGGTCGATGGAGTCGTCATCTCCTTCGTAGTCGACCACCTTGTTGCCCTTCTGGCTACTTTGTGAGAGCGGCTGAATCTCCTCCAGGGGCATCGCACTGTTGTGGTTCTCTTGGCTGCTGCGAGGAGAGGCAGACGCAAATCCTCGAGCTGCTGGGCCGCTAGAGAGCCCTTCATCGCCCTCCTCGTCCTTGACCAGCGCCGTCTTCTTGCTCTGTTGCACTTTGCGATCCACCTCTTGACTCAGGGCAGGCGGAATGGCTCTACCTGGCGCCATCGAAGCGATCGGATGCATGTCCAATGCTCCCTTTGGAAGCTTCTGAATGCAGCCCTGCTCTCTCATCAGACCAAAGAAGTCCTCGAGCAGAGGAGCAGCGCTGAGCGTCTTTTGTGAACCAACAATGACGACTTTACGCTGTGCTCTAGTCAAGGCGACATTGATTCGCCTCCAGTCGTTGAGGAGCTCACCGACTCCTCGAGCTCCCAAGTCATTGGAACGCACGAGAGAGATGAGGACCACTGGCTTGTCTCGACCTTGAGATCGATCGGCAGTCAAGATCTCAATCTCCACACCCGCTCCAGCACCGCCCTCCCGTTCCAATTCGCGCTTGATGGCAGCAGCGCTTTGGCGGGAAGTCGTGACTGCTTGAGCAAGTCGAGGGGAGAGCAGGAGATTTTGGAGTAGCTTGAGCTGCTGACGGTAGGGGGTGATGACGGCTATATCGCCTGCTGGTACGCCTCCTAATACAAGTGATCTTGCCAGCTGCTGTATCACCCCTGCTTCCACGCTGTTCTGAACCATCCTCCCCCGCCGCGTCTCTGTACCCGGCACGTCGTCGGTGTCGACAAAGACGGCTGTGCACGATGGATCCAGCAGCTGTTCAAGCCAGCAGTGCTCTGGTCTCCCATCTGCACCAGCCTCCTTCGTACAGGGAGGAGGTGTGGCAGTGCTATCAGAGCCCGGGAGGGATCTCTGCGACGACGGAGTCGCTTTTGCGTGGAGAAGAGCGATGGCACGCTGGTGATGAGGTAGATGCAATACTTGCTTGGCTACCTCTTCGTTGCCGCACTTGAGAAGCCCATCATAGATCAGATGATTACTGAGCATCATGATCGTCTCATTCATACGGTATTGGCGGGTGAGGTACACGACCGCCTCGTTGTGGGCGTCACTCAGTCGCTTGAAGAGACTGATGTCGAGCCCTCCCGACCGAGCTGTGGTATTGCGGACGAGAGGCGGCAGCTGGAAGTGGTCTCCAACGAGAACAAACTTGTCGGCAAAGCGAAGAGGACCCAAGCAAGTCGGCAAAGTGATTTGACTAGCTTCATCGACGATGCAGTAGTCGAACTTGCGTCGGGCAAAAGTAGCGTGGCCCGTCGAGAGACAAGTAGTGGCAATGACGTTCGGGGTGTTCAGAACCATGTCAAGCTCTTCGACTGAGGAGACCTTCGGTAAAGTATGGCCTTGCAGGTCGTTGTGGACTCTATCGACATTTCCGAGGCGAAGCAGACGGACCTCAGGAACGTCGAGCAGCTTCCGCAGAATGGTATCGACCGCAGAGTGGGTGTAGCTAGCCAGCAAGATCGTCTTACCTCGCGTGACAAGGAGCTTGATGAGTTCTGCGATTGTCGTCGTCTTTCCCGTTCCAGGCATTCCGAGGATAAGCGAGTAGTCCTCCGCCGCAAGGACACGGCGCATGGCTGCTCGCTGATCTTCATTGAGATGGTATGGGAGATCTTCGTCCCTCAGCTGCACGGAATCATCAAATCGCGGGGCCTCGAGATCGACGATCAATTCGCGGTGACGGTGGTCTCTCTCGCTCGTAGAGAAGAAGAGGCGAGAGAGCTGGAATCTGATCTTGGCCATACCATCGGAATACTCGTCACGGTCGATTCGGAACGTGATGTCCAGGTTGCTTACATCGCCAGGGTCTTTGCCTTGCTCCACAGCTGCCCTTTCCAAGATGGCATCCAAGTGATGGTCGATACCGATGGTGACGAAATTGGAAGAGACTTCGACGATGTAGCCCTGGGCGACAGAGAACATGCCAGGCTCAATACTAATGACGCAGGGGTCGCCTGCGCTGATCGATCCACCCAAGAGCATCTGGCCAGGGGAACCCGCCATGGGTTTGCGCACAAAGCGATACGTGTGAGAGTGAACCTCGCCACTTCCTGTCCCAGCTCCAATGTCCGGCTGCCTTGGCTCCATAATCATAGTGGCAAAGCATCTGCCCACTTCCTCGCGAGCTGCAGCCGTGAGTGTCCAGAGTTCGCGTTTGAACTTGACCATGTCTTCCTCTTCCAGACTCAGCAGTCGTTCCCATTTCTGGTAAAATGCAGCCTGAGATGGCGTCAGGTGCGAAGTGATCCGAGAGTAAAGCTGGCTGATCTCGCTGGGATTCTCTTCATCCTCGACGATCCTATCGATCGTTCTGCGATAGAGCATGCAGCCGTCTTGTACGAAGCATCTGTTGCACTCCCTCTCGTTGTCGATGGTAGGAGGCAGCGCAGTGTTGCCCTCGTCCGCCTCTTCAAGCTCTTCAGTAGCGTCGCCACCGTTGGCGCGAGCTCGAGCGATGCGACGCTGGTCACCTATCTCTTCTTCATCCTTGCTATCTCTCTTCATCCAGAAGGCTAGCTCATTCCTTCCGACGATCAGCCCTCGAACCTCGTTTCTTGTTCTTCGCACTCGGTGCATATCACCGCTTCGAGTATAGTAAAGCAGACCAGAATCGACGTTGGTGCCGTAGCGATCGCTCATCATCAAGGTGTAAAGCATCGTCTGTGCTCGATGCTCGAGAGCGTCTACGCTTCTGCCAGTCTTGATCTCCATCGGCATGATCGACGAGTATCGATTCATTGCCGACCGCCTCACAGGACCAGTAGTAGGAGTGGATTGGGTTCGGCGGTAGAAAGAACCACCCTGAGCTCCCCTTTGCGGTCCTTGCTGAATGCTTGGTCCGGTGCCCGCTCTTTGTTGCTGACCTGGAACAAAGTGGTTGCCACCTCGCCAGGCCGGCCTCTCGACCTCGGTCTCTTGTAGCTCGACCTCAACGCTGACATCCATCTTGCCCTTCAATCCGTACATGGGCGACCAGATCTCTTCTTCCACATCGAAGACATGGGTCACCCTGGCCAGCGTCGGCACTGTCGTACGCGAGTCAAGGACTGTTGCATCCTCCTTGAATGCGCTTGCAGTCTCAAGCATCCCATTGACCCCTCTGAAAAGACCCTGCAAAGCATCAGCTGAATTGCCATTCTCGGCTCTCGTGACCGCTAATGTGTCTTCGAGATATCTCTTGCTAAATTCGCCGAAGGGTCGGCAGAGATCGAGAAGCTTAGCTTCTGCCGCTGAGGTCTCCATACCACAGCAAAGGAGGCCGTCGAGATTGTGCAGCACCTGCAATTTGACCTGCTTTACCAAAAATGGCAGAGAAAAGTTCGTCCTGCCTGGACCATACCAATGGAGTGGGAATGGCATGTCGAAGAACGGTTGCAGGCTTGTCTCGTCAAAGTCGGGCACCAGGGAGTCATCAAGCAAGCCTTGACCCGTGAGGCAGGCTTGCAGAACCTCGTGAAGCATGCATCCCATGACAAGAGCTTCACTCATCTTGTCCGCCGCACCGGTGCCGCTGATGCGGCCTCGGACAAGAGGCTTTCGCACGCACGTTGGCACGTCACAGACTGATGTGGCAGTCACTAGGATGTCCGGATGTAAAATCAGGAGATTGTCGGCGTGAGGCGAGTCCGAGAGAGGAGAGGAGGAGAGGAGGTGCATTGTGAGTATCGTCCTTTGTGATCGAGTGCGGCATGCTTCGAAGTTCTGGTCGTCCTTTAGGAGGTCCTCGTCCAGACTGGCGAAGAGGTCCGCGTCGGAGTCGAAGGAAGAGGGAGGTAGAGGTGGACTTGCTGAAGGCTTGATCATTTGCTCCACTTCGCTGGCGACCTGAGGAGCAGGCTGCGGTGCTGTTCGATCTCGAAGCCACTGCTCCCTTTGCTCGTCTGCTGCGAGCTGTATCTGATAGCACTCCCTCTCGACTCTCTCATCCTCTTCATCGATACATTCATCAGCCCAGTGGCCGATGCAGTGGATGTAATTGCCTGCCGCCACTCTTGTTGCAGTCCACTCTTCCCTCAGGACAAGCTTGCGATGGCGAGCCGCCTCAGCTCTACCGTCCCAGGTTGCAAGGGGCAGTTCACCCTCGAGCGCTTCGTCTTCTCTGTATTGAGCGCCTCTCCGAGGCTTCTCCACACAAAATATGATCTTCTGTGGGCGTTGAACGGTACGACTGGAGTTCGGTAGTGGGTGGTCGTAGGTCGATTCGCGAACATCGAGTACCCGGCACCTGATGTAGGAGCGGTGGGCAGATCGCGACAGCTGCAGGGTCAGTGTTGGAAACGGGAGTCAACATAGAGAAGAATGTCAGGATACGAGACAGACACGCATTCTTTTCTTCTCTTGCTCACCTGTGAAGTCTTGGCTCTTTGAGCCCAGAGCTTACTCTGGGTTCGGCTCACTCTCTTCACCATGCTGTCGGAGCTGTCCGGAGCTGGACTCGACGCCTTCGTCCCTACGGAATCCTCCTCTTCCTTCTTGATGAGAGCCACTGGTGCTGCCAATGCAGCCTCTTCCACGTCAGCCATCCACGCGTCGTCATCCCCCATACTTGCGAAGGAATCATCATCGACGAAAGTGTCTGGAAATTTGCGAGAGGGCGACGGCTTCGTCGCTGCTGAGTCCTTTTGCGGATTGAATGTGTAACCAGAGGCCAAAGGGATCTGACTGTCGCTCTTCGCATGGGCGAACGTTCTCACTGAGACGCTCTGAGCGGGAGGAGTAGGGCGCGCCTCCTTTGGTCGTTGCGCAGCTGGCGGCAGACGTGACGAAGCACTGGAGGTACCACTGGACCACGACTGGTGAGACTTTGGGTTAGGACATTGGGCTGAGCCCTTGACGAAAGCTCCTCCTGCTGAGGCACCGGCAGGCCCGCCGGAGGGTTTGGCTACTGCGCGACTGGGTCCGCCCGGTAAGGACGATCCGGGTTTCTGAAACGCCAGCTTGGAGATCTGACCAAGAGACAACTTCCCTGGCGTGAAAGATTGTTGAGACTGCTGTGAAGGAGCAGAAGATGTCGACGCATGGTGTTGTGATGATCTTGCGAGAGCTAGAGGTGGTGCACGAGGAGCATCGCGGCTGGGTTTGATACGCGTCGTACCAGGCGTCTTGGCGCGACTGGCCGATGATGAGGGAAGGGGCGACGAGTCGATATCGTTGAGGAGATCCGCCATAAAGGCGTCAGCATCTTGGCCCCCCATAGCGCCTCAGTGTGCAGCCCAGGTGATCAAAGAGGAGGGACGGAGCGAGGTAGCGGGTGGCCCTGGTAGTCTGAGAACCAGGAAGAGTACGCGGCTCGGCTTTAATGAGGCTCAGCCTCGGAAGAGTGTTGGTTGCATTCAAGCTCCGCTGCACGTCCGTCTGCCCATACACTCACAAAAGCACGACGCCTCGATCACCGTCGCCCCTTTCTGCCTCTCATCAGCAGTACGATTATACCCATCTGCATCGTCATTTGATCATGACGACTGCCGTATCGTCTCCTGGATACCCTCCGAATGTCAGCCTCGTCCAAACCCCGGGGAAAGCAGCCAAGAGTCGATCCGGCAGCGCACTCACAAGCGCATCCACAAATGAAGACTTATGGTCACAGATCCTCACCTCTGTAGAGACCGCCCGTTCAACACCCATCTGTCCAGTAGTCATCCTCGGGGAGCCGCAGAGTGGCAAGTCTACGTTGATCCGAGGTCTAGCGGAGCGTTGTCCTAGTGGCTACATCGAGCCCAACGCTGAGGCTCTCGAGGGAGAGGCAGGCCCGTCCACACATAACTCTCCCACACTCGAGGACAAGACCCGGATCAATTCGCGAGGCAAGCGGGATCTGGGTCTAGCATACGGGTACTGTGATGTGCCAGATGACGAGGGAGAAGGTGAGTCTTCAGATCGCAACGACATAAGTGGCTCCGGTCGTGATCCGCTGATCGAGGTTCATTTCTTCAGACATCGTTGCACGGCTTTCGCTCTTCACCTTATCGTCTTCGGACGAGTCATTGCTACCTCTCCTACCATTCGCTTTCAGATCCAAGGAAAGTGCGTCTAGCTCCCTTGATCGGCAGCGGTCTTCATTGGACGCCATTGGGAACTCCCTGTTCGTGATCACTCTTGACTGGGAGCGGCCTCAAGCTTTCCTGGAAGAGCTACGGACCTGGATCAGCGTGATAAGGGAGGTTGTGAATGATGCCGTCAGACAAGGCGATGACCGGATGAGAAGGTCTCAAGAAGGATTTTTGCAAGAGATGAAGGAAGCTGGTAAGGTCTTCCTGAACTCACATGGTAGGCTCAGGACGGTCACTGACAGTCCTCGTCCCGTCTTTCTTGACTTGCAGTGGAAGCTCAGATCCGCTCTTATACAGGCCCTAGCTCATCCACTCTACACACACTTGCGACTCAGTCGACCACTTCTGAAGATGACAAGAATGCAGACACGAGTACTGCAGCTGTCATTGTACCGGTGACTGCACCTGTGGGTCTGGGAGATGTAAGAGGCGTATCTCTCGACGAGGGCGTTCTGGACGACAATCTGGGAGTCGGCATGGTCGTGGTCCTGACAAAGTCGGACACGCTGGGCAAGCTTGAGAGAGACAGAGATTTCCGGGAAGAGCAGTTCGATTACGCGCAACAGGTTCTGCGTACCATCTGTCTCAAGTATGGCGCTGCACTCTTTTCCACAGCGCAAAGCAGACCCGCGTCTTTTACAGTTCTGCGACAGTACCTCCTACACAGGCTGCTGCCGCTCAATGCGTCTCAGTCAGCGTCGACATCACGCTACTCTTTTGCTCATGCTCCCTCGACGATCGAACGAGATGTTCTCCTCGTACCGTCTGGCTGGGACAGTTGGGGAAAGATTGTAGCTCTGCGGGACGGCTTCTCACCTCGCTCTACGGCGCAAGGCTGGGAGAAGGACTGTGAGGTAGAAGAGAGGCGCAGAATGGAGAAGCTACCAAAGACTAAGCTTGGTGAGATGGAAAAGGCGATCAATGCTGAAGAGGGCGGTGGGGAGAGGGGAAGTGCCTGCAGATTGTGGGAGGATGTCATAAGTGACTGGAACGGCCAGAGGGTGAGGTCGAAAGGTTTTGCATGAGTGTCTCGTCTCTGAGCACAATTCTGACATTTGCTTCTTCGCTCTGGCAGACTTCGAATCAGACTGCTAGCCAGGTCAAACCGCCAGATGCACAAGATTTCCTGTCGCAGCACTACGCCTCCCTTCAAAAGGATGCATCCGCAAGTGCTGACCCTCGAGCAAGATTCGGTCGTCCCTCGCTAACTTCGTCGTCTGCTTCAGGTCCTTCGATCTCTCCTACACCCCGAGATGAGAATGATGGGGGCGCAGCACGGAGCATCATTGGGCCCATGCAATCGGGCGGCCTGTCTGGGCCGGCGGTGGAAAGAGCTATGGGTCTGGCACTAAGAGAGGAGGGTGCGCCAAGCGGAACTTCGAGCTCAACGGACGAAGTGGGATCCAGCAGTCGACCCAAGGTTTCGCGCAGAGAGTCCCGCGATCATCGGTCCATTGTTGCCTCGGCTGCTGCCACTGTCACTGGCGGCTTAGGAGGATCTTCGACGTCCAGCAGCAGTCGAGCCCCGCCTCACTCTCCCATGCTGGGAAGCGCACGAGAATCGCCTTCTCCTTCGCCTGGTGCGACAAAGCAGAGCGAGGTGTTGCAAACTTTCTTCCAAGACTGTGAGTTCAGGCAGGTGGTACCCGAGGAGAGATGATGTATTGCAAGTATGACTGACACTTCGGACCTGGGCCCTCTTCCCGCCCATGCCCTCCCTCTTTGCTTCCCAACTTGTTTTCTTCCTCCACCCATGCTGCTGTCTCAGTGTTGCGTGGAAAGTCGGGAGGCTCAAGTGGGGGTGGCGGGGCTGGATTACGATCGGGTCCGCCGAGTAGTGGCAGGAGATCGGGACAAGGGATTCGGAGTGAAGGATCGGATCATCGTGGTGAAGGGGCCCACCATCCCAGGCCCTGAGGAGTGTGGGAACGCAGGAGGATAGGGCTCAGCCAGTGGCGCGTGGCGTGGGCGTGTGCGTGTACGTGTGCAGGTTGCAATTCTTTGGGGCGCGCCCGCCCGCGTCGGCGCTGCCGTTCGCTTGGCCAAGTTTCGCTTTACGCCTGCCTGGACCACAGAAACAGCAGAGAAACCCTCCAGGCGGCCACCATCTCCGACAGAGGCACTGCCGCCTGGCCTACCTACCCACCCACCCCTGAGAGGCAGCCAAGGCAGGCAGGCAGGTCTCTCCTTGGCTGATCCTATCATCCATGACTTGTGCCGCTATCATCTCCATCTGTTGCTGCCTCTGATCTCTGCCTATCTCTTGTCTGATCCACCCTTTGCTACCATTTGCACCATTGCCATCTTTGCCGCCACCCACCCACTCCTTCTTCTTTTAACCTCCACCGAAGAGAGAGCGACGCGCCGCGCCCCATCCTGGATCCCGTCGTAGTCTATTTCTCAAAAGGACCTGCGCCTGCCTACGGTGGCTGAGCAATACAGCGCGCCGTGCCTGGCTGCCTCCCGCCCCGCATCTCTTTGCATCACCACGGAGCACGACAGGACCACAAGGCCACACCACTACCTCTTCATCCACATCTGGCAGTAACCACACCATCCACATCTGGGTCTAGTACTGCCTCCCTCTCACCATCCACTCTCGTCTCGTTCGCATCTGCGGCCGTAGACATCACCACATCGACCATGTCCCTCTCGTCAGAGGTCCACTCGCCCTTTTACCATCCTCACATCACTTCCACATCCAGCAGGACTGCCTTCAACGAGGACAGCCCACCAGGCCTCACCGCCTCGGGCTCTTCTGACGACGGCTCCTCACCTTCGTCCGTAGCGGGCGGTAGGGCCCACTCGGCATCCTCTTCCTCCTCTTCCAAGGCAGCAGGTAGCTCAAAGCCGGGTCTCGGTGGATCCAGCTACCACCAAGCCATGAGTCCCTGGGCTTCTACCTCGGACGACAGCTTTGCAGGTTCCCGTAGAGGATTTGCAGACGACGACATGGACTTTGCTTCCTTTAGCAGTGCCAATGAGCGTAGCTTCAGCCAATCCAGTGGCGGCTACCTAGCATCGCCCGCCATGTCTACCTCACACAACAACTTTTCCATCAGCGCTTCGCCGGCCATGTCCTCCTCTGTCTTTGCCTCACCCACCAATGATGAGGCAAAGGAGATGAGAGCCGCTTCGCAGAGGATGAGCAATGTCAATGGTGGCCACATGACGGCCCCCATGAAGGCATATAGCAATGGAACGCCATGGGCAGATGAGCACATCAATGATGAGCAGATGTTCGATTCCATCATCGATGAAAACAGCTTCGGGTGAGTAACATCGACGAGCAACTATGGCCGCTCGCTTCCTCGCGTTGTCTTTGCGCTGATCACTTTGTCCCTGACCTCTCACCGCCCCTTTTAGACCTCCATCCACTCGCACCTCAGAATACAGTGGCTCGCCGCCTCCCCGTTCGTCGCATCTTTCATCCGCCTTTGGAGCTATGCAGATTCCTAACAGCTTTGCGTCGACTTCGTCCACGACAAGCACGACCAACATCAAGACTGAGCAGCAGTCAGATGGATGCCCTACCCCTGCAGCTGTCACGGCCTCTGCAACCCCAGCATGGTCGCCTCGCGCAACTACTTCAGCCTCGGCCAGCACATCAAGACGAGGCTCCATCGATGCTGCCAAGGCGGCGAGCATGATCAAGACTGCTAGACGGGAGAGTCATGGAGGTTCGGCGAGCTCCGATGGAGAAGTCTCGCTCTCTGCAGCGGTCGTGTCAAGACCTGACGCGGATAGTCTCGCAGACCTGCAGATCCATGTACATGGCATTCCCGCCCGTGGTGCCAAGTCGAGAGTGGAGACCCAGATCAAGGCTCATCTCGAGCTCGTGAGACCACTTTCTTCTGGCAAGGGGTCATCGGAGGACGTAGCTGCATGGGAGCGCATCGGCAGCTACTCTCATCTCAAGCTACCCCCGCTGAGCGCTACCAAGCGCAAGACGAAGAAGAATCAGCAGAGCATCGGTGACATCCCCAAAGAGAAGACTCTCTACCTTGATGTAGCCGTGGTCAATGCCTCGCCGCCCCACCAGCGCGCTTTTGCCTGCACTGGTTGCAGCGAGCGAGAGAAGAAGCGAGCAGATAGGAGAAAGAGCTGCAAGGCAAAGACTGGGCCGCTACCCACAGAGGAGGAGATGCGCAAGCTTGGCATCGACCCTCAAGACCCCAAAGCAGCCGAATTGGCAGCCGAGAGGCTCACTCACGAGGAAGCAAAGCGGATCATCCTCTTCAATTGCGGCGACTACATCGAGTTCAAGGATGGACACGCTGAGCTGCCCACGCGAATCACCTGCTACTGCCGCCACCACAAGGAGAAGTTGGGCTTCTGCATTTTGTTCACCATGCGGAATTGGAAGGGCAAGACAGTCGCTTGCGGGTCGACTCCTGCTATCATGATCACTGACGATCACAAATCGTCAGCTGCTCTGGAGAGGTTCAGGCGGGATGCAGCGGCAAATAGCAATGCTGCGCCCAATGGGGACGATGCCGATACCTCCGAACAGCAGAGGCGCAGTCGCTCAGCGACGTCCTTCGATCGCAGTCGGGCGAACTCGTACGATGGTAATGAGAACGGAACGGCAGGTGGGGCAAATAGGCACAAGGTCAAAAAGAGCCGGCCGAAACCGTATGATTCGCAACGGCGCTCTGCCTCTGGAGTTGGCGGCTTCGGCATGACTGCCCTCAGCAGCAATGGCGGCTCCACATTGGATACGGTCGAAGACGTTGGGAAGGATGAGCCTCAACCAGATCTGGTGCAGATGCTCGCTGCCATCGGTAACGAGAGAGCAAGCCTGGTGAATTCTGGAGCCGTCACCAATGCGGATACGAGCCGCATTGCTTCTCCCGAGGTGCAACAGCAGCCACAAACACATCCAGACTTTAATTCTTTGCTCGCCGAGGGCTCCATTTCCCCCGATACGCTCATGACAAATCCTCTCAGTCTGCCCAACTTCGACTTCACTCATCCTGCCATTGCGCAACAGATGCTTGCTCTTCTTGGTCATCAGGGCTTTATGCCTCAGCTTTCTGGGGTTATGCCAATGGGGTCTGACATGCAGCAACATCAAGCTCAAATGCCACAACCGACTGAGCCAGCGCAGCCACTTGCCACAATTTCAAAGGTCATTCCTGGCGAAGGTCCGACCACTGGTGGTGTCGAAGTGACGATCCTCGGAGACAACTTCGCCGAGGGCATGACGTGCTTCTTTGGCGACATTGCTGCCAGCTCGACGAGGGTATGGGCTTCCAATGCGCTACTCTGTGTCCTGCCACCCAGCCCCAGTCCTGGACCGGTAGCTGTGACCATCAAGACTGCAGAGGAGCTCAACAGTGGTTACGTCCAGCCGAGGCCACAAGGTGCACTACAGCTCTTCACGTATGTCGACAAGTCCGACACTCAGCTGATGGAGCTAGCGTTGCAGGTGGTGGGCTTCCAGCAGACAAGGACGATGCAGGTGCCTCGGGAGATTGCACTTCGTCTCCTGGCCACTGGACAAGGAGGCTCGGGAGCAGCGAATGGAGGTCAGCAGTACTCTGGGGGCGCTCAGCAGCATCAGCTGGGCACGAATGGGCGCAACGCGATCGCAGGCGTCTTCGCAGCTGCTGCACAGACTAGCTCGCACGGCAGTCTGGGAGAAGGAACCTCGACGTCGAGCTTCCAGGATACCATTATCAACTTCCTCTCGCTACTGGAAGTTGACACTGGTATGCCGCGCCGTGAGGATGCCATTCGCCTCGCCAACTCGAGTGGACACACGCTCCTACATCTGGCCGTCATCCTCGGTTTCCACAGGCTTGCCTCTAAGCTCCTCGCCCTCGGTTGTCCCGTCGATGCACGGGACCGAGGAGGCTACACTGCCCTGCACCTTGCTGCTCTCACTGGCCGCACTACGGTAGCTCGCATCCTCCTCAACCATGGCGCTAGAAGTCTGAGGACATCGCATTCTGGTCAGAGTCCATTCGACTTTACCATCCGTCAAGACTATCCTGAGATCGAGAGGATGTTGAGGGACTCGGCAATTCAGCAGAGCGGTACTCTCCAAGGGTACTCTGGAGGCGGCGGATACGATGGTGATGATGATACCATCAGCTCTTACTCAGAGAGTGAAGAGGCCGAGGACGTTGCGGATGCGGATGACGATTGGAGTAGCAGTGAGGAGGAAGAGGAAGAGAGCGAGGAAGACGACGTAGAAACGGGCGTCATGGACTCGTCTGACTCTACGCCACGAGCAGTCACAAGCCCTCTGGCACTCGATTTGGGAATGACGAGTCTGGACAAGAAGCTCTCCCCTGCCAAGCTGGACGAGAAGGAGAAGAGTGAAAAGCGTGGACCGCTCGCTAGCAATCACGCTCTGCGCATTCTCGCCAACAAGCTTCCCGGTGGAGTGAGCTTCTTGGACGTCACGGATCGACTGCTGCCACACTCGCTGCAGCAACGCATGCAAGCCGTGGCCGTCTTCCAGATGACGATGCCTGCTCCTCCTAGCCTGCGCAATTGGGTCAGCAGCAGCGGTAGCGCAACCAGCGGAGAAGGCTCTGCTGCTGCAGAGGGTGGTAAAAGTCAGAAAGTCAGTGAGGACGCGCTGGCTCATGCTGATGAGCACGAGGAGACTTCTCGTCTCACGACATTGTGGAGACATATTCTCGACGAGACGAACACTTGGAGACTTTCTGCAGGCCATATCGCTCCGCCGCCGGCATATGAGACGGCTACTGCTACGCTCTCTGAGGCTGTGGATCAGGAAGGGACAAGTGCAGAGCTAGGAGAGAACACGAGAGAGGAGACTGCCTCGACTGGTCAGGCTGGCCCGTCGAGTGCTTCTTCGACTTCTACTTCGGCAACTGCAACACCAGGCACCGCTTCGACTTCCGCTCCACTGAAGCACCGAAGATCCTCCCGTCGCTCCTCCCCCTCTTCTGCTCCTTCTCCTACTTTGCCCTCCTCCTCCACCTCTTCTCCCCCAACCTCCTCCTCGCCCTCTTCTTCGACCTCAACAACATCAACAACAATGGGAGTCGAAGACGACTGGATGCTCAAGTGGTTCTGGCTACCCTGTCTCATCCTAGCACTCCTCTTGGCAATGTTCTCCACTGGACCCCTTTCGGTAAAGAGCCTACTGGGGTATGTTCCCAAGATTGGAGGAGGAGTGGCGAGCGCTGCGGCTGCGGGGATGGGAGGGTTGGCTGGAGCGGCTGGTGCAGGAGTGGGAGCGGTTGGTGGACCTGGACCTGGACCTGGACCTGCTGGAGTGGGGAGGGGATGATGATGAATAACTTCGAGGGCGCTTCGCTTCGCTGCGTGTATAGATGGGTCGATTGCTTTTCTTTCTTTCTTTCCATATTACACTACATTACGCTACGCTACACCACACTATACTTTATCGCTTCTCTTTTTGGATTTGTACTCCTGTTTCCTGTCACGACTCTCCTTCTTTCCCACCTTCCTTTCTTTTGATTGATCAGTTGATTGAGTTAGTGTGTGATGCCCTTGAACGTTTTTGATTCTCTCTTATAATTGTACAATGCGAGACCTTCTCCTCTGCTCTGCTCTGCTCTCCTCTGCTCTCCTCTGCTCTCCTCTGCTCTCCTCTGCTCTCCTCTGCTCTGCTCTCCTCTGCTCTGCTCTGCTCTGCTCTGCTCTGCTCTGCTCTGCTCTGCTCTGCTCTGCTCTGCTCTGCTCTGCTCTGCTCTCTGGCGTGACGGTTAAGCTTCGTTCCTTCTTTCCTTCGATCCCTCTCCCCCTGTGCACACTCCTGCCCCACTTGTCCCACCCACCCTCTACCACTCATGCGACGTACCAAAACTTCATCCTTCCCAGCCCCAGCTCTCGCTCTCGCTCAGATCTCAATCGCTCAAACCTTTCCCCAGCCTCTTGAAGTCTCCTAGAAGAAGACGAGGCAGTGCGATCCACCTCCCCTTCCCGCTGTAGTCTCAGTTCAACTTCGTAAAGTGCGCCCGTTCCCCCACATTGAGCAAGCCAGTCCCGCTCTGCCTTCGTTTGAGCGTGCCTCGCTTGTACTTTGATCGGTGCAGAGCTCGACGTTGTCCTTGATTGACTTCCATGCTCGGCAGCGGAGGGCGTGGAGAGGAGAAAGGTAGAGTCAGAGTCAGAGTCAGACTGGCTCTCCCTTGGCAGGAGGAGCGACCAAGCCTTTACTGCCTCTTCGAAGCGTTCCTCCTCGTCATCGTCATCGTTGAAGAGGAAGAGGAGGGAGTGAATACCGAGTGCACCATTAGGGTGTGCGCTCCTCTTTGGGCTGCGAGTGTGATTCTGAGCACTCCCCTCGTCCTCGAGTGACAGCGACGGTACGCGGAGCGAGCGTGGAGTGACGTCTTCGCACCAGAAGGGGAGTGCATAGGACGTGAGTGCGTCGTCTGGGAAGGTGACCTTCCACTTGATTTGGTCGCCACGGAGAGTGGTACGACCACCTGCTCGTGGGGACTTGTACAGACCTGGTGAGGTGGCACCTGTCGTCGAAGTTGGAAGTAGAGGTTGGGCCTGCTCCTGAGCTCTAGCGTTACTCGCTTCCACCTGCCCATCGGCCACTCCACCAGCAAGACACCAATCGATCCACCCTTCCTTCTTGCCACTCCACCAATGCTGCTCCCTCCTGAGCTGCCACTCTTGCCTCGTTTCCCCTCCTCTATCCACTCCCTCTGCCTCGTACTCGAGAAAGGCAATGAGCTCGATGTAGACTCCGTCGGGGAGTACGATTAGGGCGTTCGTGGTGAGGAGGTCGGCGTGGTTCCCTCCGCGGGTGACGAGGAAGCCCAGGGAGGAGTAGAGGGCGATGCTCGATTCCATGGCGGCAACGCTCGGGTGGAGGTGGATGAGATGATCTAGTGCAGGCATAGGAAGGGAGGACATGGTGGCGTTGGATCAGCTGTCCTGAGCACTGGTGGCCACCTTTGCTTGCTCTTGAGGTGTTGGGTAGAGATACCACCTCCAGACGGCTCCTCCTGCGAAGGCTGCTCCTGCACTTGCTAGGAAGAGGACTCTTCCCCTGGGATTGGAGATGGGGGGTGACCGAGGGGCGTTGTGTAGGGTGTAGGCCTCCTTGAATGCTCCAGCTGAAAGAAGGCCGAGTGTTGCTGTGCCGGTCAGACGACAGAGGGGGCAGTCGACGTAGGGTGGGGGTTGCTCTGCAGATGCGGGAATACTGTTGGACGTCGACGATGGCGATGAAAGCGGCTGCGGATGCGGCTGTTCCTCTGGTACGAGTGTACGGTAGATGCGTGTGAGCATGACCTCGTCTGCTCTTTTTGATCCGCAACTTTTTGTTCTGGTATGACTCACGTACACCCTTCACCACCTTGGCGGAGAGGAGCGAGGAGCACGAGCCACTCTCTTCTTCGCCTTGCTTCCGGTCCGATGGTCAAGGCGACTCCACGGCGACCTGTGCTCGGCAAGCGGAATCGCGTCCTTCCGAATTGGTAGCGCCTACTCTCACTAACAGACCAACACCATCTGAGACCTGTAGAGGGACGAAGACTTCACCCCAGAATGTCGTCCACAACGTCGTCCTCGCTCAAGAAGCGGCCCACTGCGGCCGGTACACCTTCCAGCGCGTCTCCCTCGCCCACGCCAATCCCCAAATCGCACAACAATCGGGGTCACCCTCTCTTCCGAGCAACGCAGTCCTCAACAGAAGGCGCAGGCTACCTCCTTCGTATGCTGCGGTACACCCAAGGCTGGACTACAATCGTCACCGCCGTGGGAGTTCTTTGGACCGCCCGCGCTGAAAGCGTCTTCTTTGTTGCGGGTGCCCTCGTGACGTCCACCATTGCCAAGATCCTCAAGATGATCATTCGTGATCCCAGACCGGACAAGTCGGCAGTGACGCGCACCTTCGGACTGCCGTCGACGCACAGCTCTACAGTCACGTTCCTGTGCTCCTATGTCGTCCTTGGAGTTGCTCATCGTGTTGCGCTGGGCGAGAAGGGAGGCCTGTCAGCGCTCACCCCGCTCGAGATGGCTTCCACGCTCTTCCTAGTTGTCTTTCCCCCACTCGTCATGTGGTCCCGTGTAGCGCTAGGCGTGCATACAACGCGCCAGGTCGTTGCAGGCGGACTACTCGGACTGACATGTGCAGTTGGGTGGTGGACACTTTGGAGAGGGACGGTGCCCGTGGAAGGACGTGTGGTGGGAGAGGGCCTGCGGCGACATTGGCTCGCTCTTGAAGGGGACAAGCTGATTGCAAAGTACAAGAGGATGATGATTAGTGTGCTATTGAGGAAATGACCTGCAAGAGAGGCAGCGCATCGCGACCACCTGCAGGCTGCCGCGAGGTACTGCAGACGAAGAGGTGTGGGTGATGTGTCGCAAGTCCGGTCGAATGTAGGCTAGTGGACACGCCTGTCCGAGGCTCGGTCAGAGGGACACCTCCCTTGTCTTCAGGTGGAATCGGCGGCACCACCTCCGACTCCTCTCCTCTCCCCTACCATCCCTGCCGCCCTCCCCTCATTCATATACACTACTCCCTCAACACTACTCGCCTCTACTCCTCCTCAGAACTTTCAGCCATCCTCGAGCCCAAGCCGTACCAAGCCCGGAGCTTCTCACCTGGAACCTCTGGCCATCATCGCTCGATAGTCTCCGCAATATGCCTCCCCCTTTGCTCAGCCTGGCCCTTGTGGCTCTCATCTTAAGCGCCTGCTCTTCAAGCTTCAGTGGTTTCCTCACGGCATCGGCTTCATTCGTTCTTGTATATCTATCCCCTCCACGTCCTCGCAAGAAGGTCTCTTTTTCTGACAAGCGCAATGAGGTGTATCAAATCGACAGTTCAGACTCTGGATTGGACGATGACGTCGTACCGCCCACTTCTCCGATCAAAGACGCCCTCGCTCATGTCAACCCTCTCTGGACCAGTGACGATCTCCTCGGCAGACTGACATCAATCGAAGAGGAAGATGATGAGGCCCAGGTCGACTCCAAGCCATATTCCATCTCTGTGGAAGACTATGTCCCGATCGCTGCTATGTCTCTACCTCCGATGGAGCACAGCTCCAGCTCGTTAGAGAACAATGTCATCGAGGCAGTCCGAGAAGATCACCAAAACCTTACAGACAACATTGGAATGTCTCAGAGCACCTCTGCCTTGCCCGTCTCGGAACAGCCCCCTCCTTTGGCCTCAGTCGTTGCGACCTTTGCGGCAGCTACGGTTACGGCAGCGACACAAGTAGCGACTTCAGCCGCCCAGGAGGTAGCTGCTGCCTCTGCCGCCCAAGCTTCTGGCCAAGATGAAGCCCCTCCCCAAAACGAAGCAAGACGCGAGCAATCACGCAACGACGGCTTCTTCTCCCTGCTTAGTCTTGCAGCTGCAATCCACCGTGATCTCGTGGAGGAAAGAGCCAGAGCTCGTCACAACTTCATACAGCCCGCGCACCACCTCTACAATCTTGCCTATCGTGCTCAACTACGACGAGAGGCTGAAGCGGCTCTCTCGGCCGACAGACTGATTAATTTGGCGAGACGCCTAGCGGCGCCGGTCGTCCCTGTACCGACTTTGGTGGTATCTCCTCCTACTGAGTCTGAGCGTCAAGCACCAGTGCCACCAAATACTCCCACTTCGGCTACCACTGCTACGACAGTGTGTGGTGCGAGCCACGAGGAGACCGACGTTGACGTCGACGAGGTCGACCAGAGCCTCGAAGATCTTCAGCCGTTGCGACAGGACGATACAGAGCTCGACACTAGCAATGTTGATCTGTTCAGCTTGCCCATCTCACGAGTCGAAGGACACATGGACCGACGATTGAGCATCTTCTCATGTGCCAGCATGCCGGCAAGACGCGCCCCGCCTACTTTTGCACCACTGAGTCGAGTCGCCTCTGATCCTCTACCGATGAGGTCAACAACGGAAGAGGACGTGCCTATCAGTTCCGCTGAGTCGCTCGCTGAGACCCGAGCGCCGTACGACAATGGCGTCGGTCTCCGAACACCGGTGTCACCGCGACGAGTCGGGCAACGTATCCTCCCCATCCATCGACCTTGGGCTTCCGCCTCATCCCCGGCTCTGATCCCACCTTTCACTCCCAGCGACACGGCTCTGCAGTCCGGTGCTTCTCTTCCAAACCAGCGGCCCATCTCCCTAGTGCACAAGCGCTCATTCAGCGATAGTCACTACAACTATGTCATGGCTCATCACCCAGACCATGTCGCCAGTCTGGACAGTCCGCCCCTTCCGCGATGCTCCACTCCTCCTCGTGCGCACTACAGAGATCAGTCTCGAAGTGCACCGGTTAGCAGGAGAAGTACCGCCGATAGCTCCAGCCGTGCCGAGCACACTGTCAGTGGATCTGGAGCTGCAAGGAGCGCAAGCGCACTGGGCCTCACGACGACGACTCCGTCGAACTTTTCAGCTACTTTCCTCTCTACACCTCTCGAAGAGCTGGAGAGCCAGATCAATAGCGCCCTCTCGGATGAATCTTTTGATGAGAGCTTGAGGCTGGCGGGCTACAGCTGGGGGATTGGGACGATTCCCTTTCTCACTGGGAGAGACGGGACGCCTGGGCCGGCTCAGGCTGAAGCTGCTGGCGACGGCAATGACATCAACAGCGGTATGATGCACTCAAGCGCACTAGGCTCACAAGCGTTCAGCGACTCCCCTCCTCTCCCTTCAAGCCCGACCGCCACCCTCATTGCCAGCTCAGCCTCTCTCGTCCAGCAGACTGATCCTGACTTCACGCCTCGCATCGGTTCCGCCTGCGGTTCGTCAGATAGCGGCAGCTCCGCAAGTACTACTAGGCCCCCTCGTCCCTCACCCCTCTTCAGTGAGGTCCTCGAATGTCTTGGCTTGCCTGTAGAGGGTACAGGGGACTCGGGTAGACTGGGAGAGAGACAGCGCACACTTATACCTGGATCTCAGCTCGGAAATCAGTCTGGAGACGTAGCTCAGCACGAAGAGGAGCAGCAATGCGATTTAGATTTGACTTCTGATCTTCCCGTTGCTCTTGAGCAGAGCACTCCTCTTCTCAGATCCTCCTCCTCCTTCTCCTCTCCAACTCAAAGCGACAACCAAACCGGCAAGCAAAAGCAAAAGGAGGGGCTGGCCCTCTTCTCCCTGTCCCTCCCGCGCGAAGGGGAGGATGAGATGGTCACTACACCGCTCCCGCCTCCTCCTGCGCTTGGAAGGGCACAGAGGGCGCGCGTTGACTCGGGCTGCTCCAAGGTGACGGCGATCACGAACGCGGACGCGGACGCGGACGCGAATCTGATTGGGTTGGGCATCGTTATCGGGAGGGAGGTTGAGGCAGCGCAGGATTGCAAGGCAGGTGAGGAGATGACGGAATTGAGAGGAGAGTGTGAGGGGATCCCTCCTCAGGGAAGCTGCTGATCCAGCCCCTCAGGACTGCTCGTAGCGGTGCACTGCAACCCCCTGGTATGAGATGTATCTACCCCATCTTGACGCTACCTTATTTGATCATGTCCGTAGATGTCTACATCGACTACCACTCTGCAGAAGTCGTTGAAGGCTAACTCACACTGTCACGCCAGCGCCCAGCTAGTAGTGCTGCTGATCATCTATATCCAGACCCAGATCCAGATCCATGGAATGTCATGTCATGTACCATACACTACTTTTCGTGTGACTGTGACTGGAAGATCGTCCGTGGAGGGTATTGGGCGCATAGCACGATAGGCCAACGCAGAGGCGAAGTGTGGAGTGTGAAGTGAGGCATGGGGCATGGCATTGACGGTTCCACTTTCCCTCCAGACCAATCATGGCGCTTCCCTTCTTCCCTTCTCTCCTTCTCTTCTTCCCTTTCCTCCTCCCCTTTATCTTCCTCCCACTTGTCCTTCCTCTGTCCCCCTATCTCACACTCCCAGCACCTACTCCACCCACCCCTCCACTTCTAGCTACCCCGCGACTCAGACGATGCACCTTCTCCCTCGCCTCGAGTAATCGCTCACTCTCTTCACCCAGAACAGCCAGGATACGCTCTAGCTGGCGGGAGCCGAGCCCTGATGAAGAGGGTGAGGAAGAGAAGGAGGGAGCTGAGCTGGAAGTGGAAGTGGAAGAGGAGGAGGAGGGATGGAGGGAGTCTTGATAGGATGCGAGGTCTGGTTTTAGTTGGGCTAGTTGGGCTTGTAGCTGATGGCAGACGAAACGGGGGAGACTTGTCAATGATCGTACCCTCTATCGGACACGACAAGCCCCGACTCATGGCCTTCTGCCGACTGAGTCTACTCACCTTGTCCACCCTGCCCTTCAGACCCTCCCCCGGTCCTCTACCCAGCTCCTTCTCCATCCCGCCCATCTCCTTTAGCCAGACCTCTTCGTACTTGCTGATGCCTACTACGTCCGCCGAGTCCATACTGGCTTGAAGAACCCGATCTACACGTTGGATAAGGGAGCGCTGCCGAGTGGTGACGCGCTCCAGTCTTTCTCCAAGACTACCGGCACCCATAGCAGCCCCAGTGCCCTTTGAGGAAGAGGAGAAGCCCTCGACTCTCCTCTCCACCTCGCTCAACTTGCCCACCTGCCGATGCAGCTCCTTGATCTGTAGCTCCAGCCTCCGCTGGATCACATTTCCTCCACCAACGACCTCGCGCGTCTTTCCTCTCAAGTCCTGTACCGATGTCCCCAACAGCCTGAGCGTCTCGGGCGTGACTTGCAGCTCGCCTCGAGCGACAGAAGGGTTGGACGTCTTGAGACGCATGGTTGGGAAGGTGGTCGAGGTGGAGTGGGCAAAGGGCGCAGGAGGCTCGAAGGGCTCTGAGCCGAGGAGAGAGGTGTAGTGCTTTTTGCCTTGCTGATCAGAGGGGAGGGCGGCAGAAGGCTGGGCGAGGACTGCTGTGAGAAGTCCGGCGGAACTGCTGATGGAGGGAGCTTGCGAGGTGGCGCGTAGGCTCATCTCGAGGCCGAAGCAGTCTCCGTCTCCCAGCAGGACCAGCAGCGAGTAGCCTAGGTAGATGTCGTCTACTACCTGGACAGCAGTGACGCCGTCGCGAGCGGGTCCGGCCTCTCCCTCTTGCTGTCCATCCTGGATCTTGACGATCCAACGGACTTCGCTGGCTTTTGACACATGTAGGAAGCGCCGAAGTTCCTCTTCATCCGCCTCCTTCAGCAGTCGAGCCAGAGGCGTTGACCATGAGGAAAGACAGAGCATGTGGGCCCCAAAGGCGTGCTGAATGTAGATTGTATCTTTGTAGACAGGGTCCCTCACCAAGCGAGGCGGTGGATGAAGCGAGGGCTTTTTGCCAGGAAAGCCCAGATCCAGCGTCTCATAGATGAATAGCACCGGGAGCTCACCAGTGGCCGAGCTCGCGTCGCGAGAAAGATCCATCGCGTCCATCTCAGCCGTGTTGTCGCCGTCCACGTCATCATCGTCATCTTCCTCCGAGGACTCTGAAAGCGCGTACCGACCCGACTTGGCGTCTTTGACCTTCTTCCTCTGTATCGACTTGTTGAGTCTCGAAGCAAAGCTTGTGTCCCTCGCATGCGACGCTGTCCATTTCGGACCTATCTTGCCTGCCACATTGACTACTCCAACATCGACTCTCCCGTCATCACCTAGCAATAGCAGGAGCTCCAAAGCCAAACCAGCGCCACCCTCGCCTGCAGACGTCGCAGACGAGGCAGGCAGTCTCACAAAGCTGATGTCACTTCCTCGACCCTCCCTCGACTCGTTGAGCTCGTGAGGAGCCGGGGCCAGTAGGAAGGGGCCTTGCGCAGTGATTGCACCCGGCACAATGGGCGTCTGTGGAGCCTTGAGCTCGACATACTGCAGCAGACCATCTTCCTGTGTGTCTCCTCCTTCGTCGTCAGCCGCACCTTCTGGGTCTAGAGACATCGACATCGCCGAGGTGGACTTGCGCATACCCGGCCGACCAAAGGCCGAGTCATCTCGAGACAGAATGTCCGCTGGAGTGGTGGCTCGACTTCGCCTGCCAGGTTCTCTCCGATCGGCGAGCTCATCGGCTTTCGACTCCTGGTATGTCCGAGCTTGCTTGAGCAGATTCGATACAAAGCGAAGAGCATATTCACGTTGGCGACCGCTGCAGTCGTTGGACTGCTGAGTCCATGCTGACAGTGCCTGCAGGTAAGCAGCAGGGACCCGACTGTAGTAGGAGAAGGAACAGAAGGTATTGAGCACAGCGCCTAAAGCTACCGGGCCTCATCGATCTGCGATACTCACGCATTGCGGGGCAGGAAAGGTGCTGCCGCCCATACATCTCCACTTGTCGTCAGTACATAGATTGTCAGGGGTGTCCAGTCAACGCAGCTGTGCACATCTTCGCTCTCAGAGGAGGGCGTATCTCCAAGACCCAAGGTGAAGCTGACTGCCTGCAGCTCATCTTCATCTTCGTCGTCATATTGACCAAAATGACTGCGACCTCCTACCCCAAGCTTCGGCGAAGCATGCCGGCTGTCGAAAGGCAGAAGGTGTATCGATTGTTGAGGCTCAGCTAGGTCGCGAGCGACGTCGTATTCGTAGAGGCTACCATTGCGAAGCAGTACTAGAATCGATGTAGCTCTCTTGCTCCAAGGATGCCACTTTGTGCAGGTGATCTGCTCGAGTTTGGGAGAGCGACTGTTGTGGTAGTAGGAGCCGATCTTGTGAGCCTTGACCGTGATGGTAGGCGAGCTCGAAGAGAGGGCGGTGCTTCTTGGGAGGATGACAACGATGAGAGAGCCGGGTTGTGAGATAGCTAGGAGCGTCTGAGAGTGGTTCAGGGTCAACTCGACTCGTCTGGAAGCAGACGATGGTGATAGAGCTTCCGATAGGATTGGGTTGGCGAGAGTCTGTCTCAGAGCAGAAGGGGTCAGTATAAGCCGTCTTGTCAGAGGCAGCCCCTGCTGATGTCTCTCACCTTGTAGCTGCTCAGGGGCGGAGCAGTGTCATCGGACCCTCCAGCCTTGCCGTTCTTGACAGCGCTGAGACTCATCATGCGAAGCTGTCCATCAATGAGCACAATGATGTCCGATCCTCTGGTGATCATGTTCGTCTGCCCTCGAGGCGTGGAGGACGAGGCAGAGGCAGAGGCAAATACTGGCTGAGAAGACAGTCGCGAGAGCCATGAGAGGTCCTGCTGCATGGGGTCAGGCGAGCCCACGGCCGAGGTTGGCGAGGTGGGTGACATGGCCGAAGCCATCCGAGCTGTATGAAGTGACGTCTGAGTAGTCTACGATAGCACTGAGCAATGGTGAGGGATGTATGCTGCTGCTACTGTCGGAAGAAGTGTCACTTTGGGCATGGCGGTCTGCCTCGCGCACTGCACACGGAAGTGGCTCAAGGCCAGGCGGACGTGCGGGGAACACGGTGCCGCCCTCGATTGATGCTCTCTAGTCTGGTACTGGTAGCAGTCGACCCTCGAAGACAATGGCATCGCAAGTGGGCGACGTAGCAATGGAATCAACCTCGTCTGGCGCAGCTCAAGGCTCCAGCGTAGAGCATGCTGCTCATGCTCAGAGGCTCATGAAGAGGTTAGAGGCCTGCGACAAGGTGAGAGCATTGGCAGCTATGAGAGCAACAACGTGGCATTTGAGCTGACTCCTGGCTTCGACGTCTGGGGGAGTACAGCAATTGTCTCTATTGCTCACACAGACGGCAGATTCGCTGGAGTCATTGCTCAACAACTCCAAGCAGACTGCTGGCACGAGTGAGCAGGCGGATTTAGGCGAATTCGAGGATGTCGCGCAGGACTGGCTCGCAAGCGTCTACGTGAGTGTACCGTACGGGGCATACTGTGGGGTTCATGAGAAACGATCAGCTCAACTCTGACTTCGCGTTCATATCATGGTCTACAGGATATCCAGTTGATGCTGCGTAAAGCCGTCCGCTTCCTCGTCCGCTCATCCCGGCCACCGATCATGACTGCCACCCATTCCTTCATCCAAGGCGGCGGGGTGAGCGCAGCAGCAGCCGGTACAGCATTGAAAGCTCCGCTTCCTTCCAGCTCTGAGGCGCAGCAGAATGGCGAAGTAGCTACAAGTCAGTCGGCCGGAGCAGGACAAGATGATAGTGGAGCCAAGAGTGCAGAGCTGTCACTGAGTGCATTGCGGTTGAAGCATCAAGCTTGCAAGGAGCTACTCGATGCCTTGGAGGCCATCAAAGCCACTGCACTTGTCTCGGAAAGCTCTTCGTCTTCGGCATCTTCGGAGTCAGACATGCTTCGTTTACTGGGCTTGCACTCGCCTGTTGAGCCTCAGAGGTGACTTGGTGAGCGGAAGCCTTTGCATCTTCCCGTCTGTACATGCATCAATATTATACCCATTGCGCGATCTCTGCCAGGTGTATGGCCTTCGGATGCTACCGTGTGCCACGTCTGCTGCTATCTGCGGCGTCTCGACCGACACTCGAGACCTGTGTACTACCATGACTTGCTCCTTGCTACCGGTACGGTGTGGTTGGTCCCCTTGTCGGGTGAGGCCCGTCTCCAGCGCGCAGCTGGTCGGAGCTGCGCGTGGAGTGAGGGACGACGAGGTTCTTCCTACTTCGCCGCCTCGTCTGACCGACAGTCACTCGCACACACCTCCTTCGCTCACCACCATCGCATACTCCCCAAAGACAAATCTCATCAGCAATCACAACAACAGCATCAGCTCCTAGACTGTACGCTACTCAAGACTACCAAAAACCACTCTCACTTCGGCTCACTAGACCGAAGAATTACAGCATCTTACGCTCCACTTGATTGAACCCCTCAAAAGTGCGCATCTCTCGTCAGGTGCACTTCTGAGCCTGCCTCTCTGCCTGCGCAACGTCACACTCCACTGGCTGACAGCTTCTCCCGTATCCATCTCTGCCTCTCCGTACAGCTCCACCCCTAGCCTCTCACTTCTCCAATATGGCCACCACTCAAGCAAATGGCCTCACCGCAAACAGTGGCGCTGTAGCTTCTTCCTCCACTTCCGCAGCCTCAACCTCGTCCACCAAGCCAGCCGTACAGCCCTCTGAGGTAGGATGGCTCTTTGTACCCCAGTACTACACCTTCCTCAACCAGAACCCTGGAAGACTGCATTGCTTCTACACCAAGAAGTCGACATTGGTCCATGGGGTGGAGCAGGAGGACGAGAAGCCTTACTTCGGACAGCAGGTGAGTCGGTCGGCAGGGAGGTAGACGCCATGTACTTAGCGACACTTGAGCGGGGAAGCTGAACTTCTCATCTCATCACTCGTAACAGGAAATTCACGACAGGATCACCTCCCTCGGCTTCCAAGATTGCAAGGTCTACGTCTCCAATGTCGACTCTCAGTCTTCGGCTTCTGGAGGCATCATCATTCAGGTTCTGGGTGAAATGTCCAACAAGGCTGGACCATGGCGCAAATTTGCACAGACTTTCTTCCTCGCCGAGCAGCCTCTCGGATACTTTGTCTTGAACGACATCTTCAGGTATCTCAAGGACGACGAGGAGACTGAGGAGCAGGCCGAGGAGATCGATGAGGACCTCCGAAAGGACGAGGCTGAGGCCCGTGAGGAGAATCGAGACGTTGTTGGAGCTCAGGTTGACATCAGCGCCATTGCCCAGCCTGGAGCCACCCCTCACGTCCAGCCGGTCATCTCATCAGGGTCCCAGGAGCAACCGTCGGTTGCAGCCATTGCAGCTGCCCCTACAGACACAAGCGCCGCTGCCGCCGCAGAGCAACCCGCTGTTGAAGAGGCAGCTGCCACTGTACCAGAGCCTGATGCTCAGCCCATCGAATCTGCCAGCGATGCTGCTGCCGCCGCTGTTGAGCCAGAAGCCCCTGCCGTTCCTGAAGCCCAGCCCGAGGCCGCCCCTGCTCCTGCTGCCGCAAAGGAGCCAGAGCAGCCCGCTGCTCCCCCCAAGCCAAAGACTTGGGCCGGTCTTGCCGCTTCCAACGTCTCCGTCTGGGGTAGCAATGTCCGCTCCGACGCTAAGGGCGTCAGCAGCAGCAAGCCTTCCACGCCCGCCGCCACTACCCCTACTCCTCGCTCTGCCGCTGCCGCCCCTGCTTCTCACCAGCCCCGAAGCAGCGGTGGCGCCAATGGCTCGACTGTTGACCCATCTTCGGTGTTCATCAAGAATGTTCAGGCAGAGCATGTGACCGAAGCCGCCCTCCGCACTGCCCTGACCCAAGCCTTTGGCCCCGTCAAGAACGTTAGCATCCTCGCCAATCGTGGAATCGCCTATGCCGACTTTCACTCTGCCGAGTCTGGAAAGAAGGCCGTGGCACAGAATGCCCTCATCGTAGGCGACAAGGGATGGAGGGTCAACATTGAGGAGAAGAAGCCCAGGCCTGATGCTAGGGGTGGACCTGGGGGAGCTGGTGGACAGAGGGGTAGCTTCCGAGGTGGTGCTTCGGGAGGTCGTGGAGGTGGTGCTGGAAGGGGTAGTGGAGCGGCTGGTCGTGGTGGAAAGATGATCGGGTAGGAGGTCTGCCAAGTCAAGGGGAGGGGGAAGACCGGGAGCAGCACCAAGAGGCGATCAGATACTGTCGATGCGGGCACGACAGACTAGGTGGATCTGAGGGGTGAGAGCGCAGCAGGTGGTACATCTGTCCGGATGTCGACGAGCAGCGATGTGGTGCGATGGCAGAGAACTCTGGCACTAGCAACACGACATCTCCTTGTTCGGCTCTTTGCCATTGCCAATCCTTGAACTCTCTCTCTTCACATTCTACCCGTTGTTACCCCTCAGCGAATTTCAGCATAACTCCTACTTTGCTCCCTGCCAAAATTCATAGCCCCGCATCTCCTCCCCTGACTCACTTGCATTTGCATTTGTGAAAGGTTTCGAATTTTTCGAGATATGACTTTCCTATTGACACTGTAGGTTGCACACACTGCTCAAGACCATGACCACCCTCTACTTGTCCATCCCTGTCTCGCTCATACCCTGCCTCACTGTCTCCCTCGTGGGCTCAGCTCAATCGTCCCTCTCCGCACTTTCCTTCCTGCCTAGACTGCCCTCGGGCATAACATAGCTAGGCCACTCTCCACTTCCACTCCCAGTGCCACTCCCAGCCTTTTTATTCTCCACCTTTTCAATCTCCACTTTTGCCTCTTCCCAATTCCGTTGATTGACTCTACAGAAATCTCGATGCATCGTAGCGCACCTGAGCAAAATCTGTCGGAAATCGCGAATCTTCATTCTTTGAAATCGATCGAGGTCTGCTTGAATCTTATTCGTCGCATAGCTCAGGTCCTGCGAGGTGAGTTGAAGAGCCTCGTCTAGACTGGAGATGTCCTCTTTTAGTCGGGAGATTTCTCGACGACGAGTGGTTTCAGGGTCGACGTCCAGGACTGAGGAAAAGGTGTGGGAGAGGGCGCTGAAGATTCCTCCACCGCCGCCGCCGGAGGAAGAGCCAGAGGAGTGATGGCCTCTGCTACCTGCTGAGCTGCGGGCGGAGGAGCCCGTGCCGTCTCCACTACCACTGCCGCTGCCACTGTAATGACTGCGAGCATCTCCATCTGCTGTCCTACCCAGGTTGTCCCTCGCGCCACCAGGGGCTCCAGCGCTGCCTCCGACGGAAGAAGAGCCAGCAAAGCCGTCGTCGTCTTGTGGGTCTACGGCTCCGCCATAGATGCTGCTCTTGACTCTTCCGCTTCCCGTCGAGTCCCATGCTCCACCACCACTGCCACCCCCACCTCCACCGGTAAGACTGCGTCCGCCCGTCTCGAGGGCCCGCTCTAGCCGCTTTGCCTCTGCCTCGACGCGCTCCAGCTCCTCAAGCTTGAGTCGCTTGGCCTCCAATGCATCCTGAGCCAGCTCGAACTGCAGGTGCTTGAGATGTCTCCACTTGAGGAGCTTCTGAAGCACACTCGCAAATTGCACATACTCGTGCAGTGGCTCAGTGACGGATTGTTCCCAGTCTTGCAGGAGGCCACCGACGCTAATGAATGTCGAATCGCTGGCTTGGCCCAGACGTTCCATGGCAGTGGCCATCTGACCCGACTCGGAGAGGGCAAAGCCGTTCAGGACGGCGCCTAGCTCTGCAAAGTCGCCGGCGGAGTCGCCCCATCTTCGTGCTACACGCCGATTCGCCTTTTCAACTGAGCCCGACATGTGGTTCGCAAAGCGCGTCGTGAAGGCCTCTGAGTCGAGGAAGCGCTGACTTGGGTTTCGCAATTGGTTGCCGGCGGATGAGGGTAGCGGGAGGGAAGCGTAGGCTGGAGAGGCATTGAGGTCTGCAGGATTAGCTGCAGGAGCCTTGAGATTGGACTTTGGCAAGGAAGAGATAGGAGGCGTGGTTGAGATCTCGTGCTGGCGGGAACATGAGGAAGAAAGGTCAGCTCGAACGTCGTGACTGTCCTCATACTCTGGTCATCGTTCAGCTCACCCAGCTCCATCGTCCATCGAGGAATTTCCTGAAGACCTCGCTCTGCTTCAGATCGGGGTGATCAGCACAGCGCCGTAGAAAGCTTTGCAACATGCGCTTCCTCCTGGCGATGATGGTAGCATCCTCCTTTGCCTTCGATTGCTTGACTGCATAATCGCTTAGCGTATGCTTCGAGGGAATAGGAGGGATGATCAGAGTAGGGTGTAATTGGACCAGAGCTGAGCGCAAGGCTTCGAATTCTGAGTAGCGTCGTTTGGCTTCGACATTCTGCAGCCGGAGATAGGAGATCAGTACGAGGAGATTGTTCAGTTAGGTGACCTGTTAAGTCGGCCATCCATGTAGGAGCTACTCACGTCGCATCGAATAACGTAGACGATGAAGCTGGACGCCCCTACATGATCGGTCGTCTTTTGAGCGTCAATGATTGTGAGGTCACTCATATCCATCTCGGGAGCGGGTAGGGGCTGTGGCCGTCTCTGCTGTTGCTGCTGTCCCTGTGCTGAGCTCGCCGAAGATGCACCTTGGCGTTCTTGAGACTTTCCCCTCTTGTCCCCACGATAAGGCGGAGGTGGAGCGTCTGCCGTTGCCTCATCATGGTCGGCGGTACCCCAAGGCGATGAAGAAGACTCGCCAGCTCCTAGGGCGTTATTGTGGGAGCTCCTGGTGGAACTGGCTGGACGCTGCCTCTGTTGGTCATCGTCGTCGTCGGAATTGATCTGGAAGGGGTTGATCTCCTCTTCCGGGCCACGACGCGATGCAGACGTCGAGGACATCCAGGACTGTGTCGAGGGTGGTGAGGAGGTGAAGGTGGACGATCGAGGTGGATATATGCTACTGCTTGCGGCGGTGGGTGATGGTGGTGATGGCAGTGGTGAGGTGCGTTGGCTGGTGGAGCTGTGCATTGGGCGGTGATCTGATCGCGCAGGAACCTCCGCGGATCGGCGACGGTGACACTTGGATTGCTTCCGACGCTTCACCCACGATTACCATCCGCACCGGGACGCCAAGCAGAGCAGCATCCTCACCATCCTTCCCCTCTGAACATCTGCGGCAGTGTCCCTTTTGGCTGCAGGTAGCTCTGCGTCTTGCTCTGACTTGGCTTAGCTGCTGTCAAGGTCTCCCGGAACTGCTCCAGTATGAACCACAATCAGAACAACGCCAGTGGAGCCCAGGGCGGGAACAATGCCGCCCACTCCCAAGCCCAGTACCGTCAACAGATGGCAGCTCAGCAACAAGCAGCATTAGCAGCGGCACAGCAGAGACAGCAGTCGGGAGGAGCTCAGGGTCAACAGCAGCAGCAGCAGCAGATGGCCCGCCCGCCCAATCAGGCCGGCGGCAACCAAGGAGGAGGAGGGGGAGGGGGGACGGATGGTAGTGGCCTTAATCCGGCCTTCCTGCAGATGATGACGCAGAATCCTCAGCAGCTGGCCAACTTTTTCAACTCGGCAAGAGCCAACAATCAGCTCACAGAGGAGCAGATTGCAGCTGTGAGTACAAGCGTGTATGGAGGACAGCTCCTTTCATAACAAAGATCTCCTGGCTGATCTGGACCATTGCATGGCGCATTGTCCCTACAGCTGCAACAATATGTCAGGATGCAACAGCAGCAGCAGCAGCAACAACAACAACAGCAGCAGCATCAGATGGGTATGAACAACCAGTCTCAACCTCGACCTCCCATGAATCAGCAACAAGGGATGGCTCGACCGCCTCAGCCAGTGCCAAACCAGCAGAACCAGCAGAACCAGCAGCGGCAGCAACTCCAGCGCCAGCAACAAGCAGCTGCTGCTGCCGTCGCGGCTGCCAACGCTCAACCTAGACCGCCGATGCAACACACCAATTCCTTCGGCAACAATGCCCAGTCACCTTCTGCTCCTCGGCCCAATGGTGCCCAGACCTCTCTGACACCCGAGCAACAGAATATGATCGGTCAGATCTACAGAGCTGTTGAAGCGGTTGGCAAGAGGTGCAAGGAGCTTGAAGCCGCTGTACAAGCTGCACAGAATCCCCAGGAGAAAGAGGCTCTCCAGAAGCAGCACAAGGAAGAACAGGTCAAGTACAGTACACTAGTGAATAAGATGATGGCGTGCAAGGAACAGTTCCTCAAGCAGCAGCAGCAGCAGCAGCAGCAGCAGCAGATGGCTGGCGGATCATCTTCCGGACCTTCCAGTGTCGCTTCGAATCCAGCTCAACAGGCACAGCAGCAGCTTCAAGCAGGCGTTCGAGCACCTCCTGGCGCTCAGCAGCAGCAGCAGCAGCCACAACGTCCACAACAGCAGTCTTCGGCGAAAGCGAGCCCTGCCCCTGGCACGCCGGGTGGAGCAAGCGGAGGTGCCTCGACTCCTGGCGCTACAGCGGCTGCCGCTGCTCAGGCTCAACAGCAGCAGTCGGGCACCGTGGGAAGCTCAGGCATCGCTCCCGGCTCTACGGCCTCCTCTATGCTGGTCAATCAGTCTCGACTGGATCCCTCAAGTGCCTCGCCCGCAGCGGCTTCGGGAGGTGCGTCACAGGGCATTCGTCCCAATGCGACCCAGTCAAGCTCCAACACCTACAACTCGTCCTCGGCTGCTTCCTCGTCTGTTCCAGGGCAAGCTACCATCTCGTCCAACCTCCCACCACAGACTCCTCAGCCTTTCCCGAATGCTCAAGGACCGCGTCCGACTCTGTCGATGGGTCTCGCCGGAGGGCCTGGCTCCGCCATCACGTCCACTCCTGGCATTCTTGCACATCCACAGCACAATGGTGGCCTTGGCAGCCTCTTTGCCCTGGGAGCAGCTGCGAGTGAAGCGTCCCGTACTGGCAGTAATGCGCTCAATGGCGCAGCAAATGGAGCAGGAGGAAGCGGTGCCAACGGACCTACTCCTGGTGGTAATGGAGCGGGAGGTAATTCTTCTCTTCCTGCCAATTCCTCGTCGAATGCAATGATGACGGCTGCACTTGGAGAGAAGAATGGACGGATGTTGACCAAGAGGAAAATTCAGGAATTGGTGGGAGAGCTGGACATGGAAGAGGTGCTCGAGGAGGATGTGGAAGATGTGAGTTGTCCCTACGTCCTGCCCATCCACTTCTTTACCCTAAAATCGACTGACTGACCCACCTTTTCTTCCCCATTTCATTCCACAGCTCCTCCTAGAACTAGCCGACGAGTTCATCGATTCCGTCACTCACTTTTCCTGTCGACTCGCCAAGCATCGTAAAGGAGACAAGCTTGAAGCACGCGATGTCCAGCTGCACCTGGAGCGTGCTTGGAACATCCGGATCCCTAATAACTCGATGCCGATTCCGCCTGTGAGGGTGAGGGGCGCAGGAGGTGGAGGATCGGGGGGAGCGGCTGGTGGTGGTGGAGCGGGAGGAGGAGTGGCTGGGAAGGGTGTTTAGGTGAGGAAGAGGAAGATGGGGGGCCAGTCGCGGGTGTAGGATGATGGTATCGATGGCTTATTGCCTATGTGACATTAGAGAGATTTGGTGATGACGTGATGAATGGAGAATACAAGTACAATGTAACAACGACGATGAGGAGGCTAGCAAGCCCGGCTTCTGAGCTCCTGCGTACAGACAGGCAGACAGCGAGCTGTACTACCTGTCCTTACTTTTTCTTCTTGACCAAACCAAAAGCATTCGGCCCCGTCTTCTTCTTCTTCATAGCTGGCTGACCAGCTCCACCCCCCGCTGCAATGGCTCCGGTACTGAGAGTGGAAGATGGCGCTGAAGTGGCAGCGGAGCTGTGGAGGAGAGCCTTGGCTCTGTCACTGAGTAGACTCTTGGCGTCTGGTTCTCCGTCTTCCTCCTTGGCGTAGGCTCGCTTCACGACGACAGGGGCCACCTTGCTAACTCTGCCATTGGTAGGTACCTCTGCTCCTGCCCCGCCTGCCGCGTCGGAGCGAGGGGTGCTAGGTCCAGGTGTGCTCTCAGTACCACCCCCGCTACTCCCCTGCTCATCATCCTCAGCAGCTGCTCCACCCCCAGCCAATGCCTCTCTCAACTCTCTCTCCTCATCTTCACCTCCCATATCCTCGGCACGGGAAAAGTACTTCTTCACCAACTCCTCATCTTCCTCTTCCGCCCTGCGTCTTTCCTCTGCTTCAAGATCCACAGCCGAAAGCTCCTCGGCTCGACGCTTACGATTGCGCTCTAGACGATCCAGCACATCGCCCGTATCAACCCTGTCGAGCTTAGCATTCCGCGTGCGAATATCCTGGAGAGCGTCCAGTACTTCCATCTCTCGCTTCGATTCGGCCTGACGAGCCTCGAGGGACTGCATGGGATCGCCATTTTCGTCGAGGAGACGAGAGGAAGAGGCAGCACCTGGACCACCGGCAGCTTCGAGCTCACGACGACGCTCTTCCTCGGCAAAGTGGGCAAGGGGATCATGGTCGTCTGGCTTGGGCGCGTCTCGCCAGGGCTCGAAGTTGCGGGTAGCTCCATGCTCGGCTATGTAGTCTGTGAGTGCGCAGCAAGGAAAATCAAGTGTTTATACGTCAGACTGTGGCCCCATCTACCTCTTTGGGTACGCCAACACCTCTACTGACCTGTATTCTTAGGATCCGTCTTGAAGGTAATCTCCGCGCTACACCTCGTACACTTGATGTAGAACCTAAAGATCTTGATCCCATAGTACGTCTCTCCCAACGCCGTCTCCTTTCGTGCATTGAATTTCCTTCCTTTATAGATGAATTCTCCACAGGTGGAACAGCGCATATTGAAAGGGGCCATGAGACGGACGACTTGTTGGCGGTCGGGGGCCTGCTTGCGACGCTTGATCTTGGCGGGATCAAAGTCCGGGGGAAAGTACTTGTTGAGTACCTTGCGCTCTGCCATGATGGGCGAGTGGCAGCCGTAGCTGTGAGGAAAGGTACTGATCCAGGAGTGTTGGTTGATGGATGGTAGGAAGCGAGGAGGAGTGGTACCAGTCCTCGTAGGGCGGTAAGTGGCGGCTGAGCCTCTGCGCCCGTCGTGGCTGGGCGCGCGACCCCGCACTGCCTGCAGCGACGGATACCAAGAGCCAAGGGGACTAGCATCCTACCAACATCCACCTACATCCAACCTCCCCCCCCCGCCTCGACTTCTCACGTCATCATCGTCTTCCCGTTCCGAACCTGACAGACGATGTCCTTCAACGACCTCGAACGCGGTACAGGCTCCAACCAAGGTCGCTCCTCGCCCCTTCGGCCAGGTCGGCCCAGCTCTTCAGGGCCCCTACCCCTCTACCACGCCCCCCGCTCCTCTGCCGCCTATCGTGATGACGACGATGACCGAGGCTTTGCCGCTTCTACCTCCAACACCGGTACAGCCAATCCATCTCCAGAACAAGTTGCAGAATTTAAGCGGTTGGCAGATAGTGTAGGAACGCAGATCTTCAAGATCAATAGCAATACGGCCGCCATTGGCAAGTTGGTCAAGCTGGCGGATGCTAGGCCCCCTCAGCGTGCAGCGGGGAGTAGCAGTGGAAGGGAGGATAGGGACTGGAGTAAAGGAGCGTGAGTAGGAGAGCTGAACCTGGGAATCATACGAGGAGCGAGAGAGGACCTCCGTACTGAACACTAGCCTGCTATTGCTCCTCCGAACCTCCAGCCACGATCTGGTCGAATCCACACGCATTGTCATCAAGTCCACCACTCCCACTCTCAAACAACTCTCCAACTTAGTCGTATCTCAGCAGCCCAACCCTTCTCCTCAACAAAAGCTTCATCTAGCCAAGCTCCAGCGCGACTTTGAATCGGCGCTGCAGGCTTTCAGCGAAGCGCAGAAGCTGAGTGCGAGGAAGAGCAAGGAGGAGTTGGAGGGGGCGAAGAGAGTCGTGAGAAGTCAGCAGGGAGGGAAGAGCGCTGCCTCTTCTTCTCAAGGTCGAGGACAAGGTCAGCAGCAGCTCGTCCAGCTGGAGGAGGAAGAGCGTCAAGGTGACTTCGAGGACGAGAGTGTAGGTCCTCTCTCCGCTGGCCAACAGCAACAGCAAGTGCAGCAACAGAAACAACAAGGTCCCTCTCTCGCCGAGCTCGAATTCCAAGAATCTCTCATTGCCGAGCGCGAGACGTCCATTCGGGAAATTGAGTCTGGCATACACGAGCTCAATGAGATCTTCCGGGATCTGGGACAGATTGTACAGGAGCAAGGAGGGATGATTGATAATATCGAGTACAACATTACGGAGATTGCTACGAATACGGAAGGTGCGGATAGGGAGTTGGTCAGCGCGAATGAGTACCAGAGAAAGGCTGGAAGGAGGGCGGCTTGTCTGCTACTCATCGTCGGGTTCGTCGTAACCGTAGTGCTGCTTGCTGTGAGTAGTGGAGTGGAGCTATACAATGAGGCCTTGCTTCGTAGTAGCAGAAGACTAACAACTTTTCTTTGCCTATCCTCTTCCACCAGATCCTGAGCTAGACTCTCGTTCGTCCGACAGACCCCAGATCCGCTCCGCTTACCCTCCCAACCCTCCTGTTGTACACTGTATGTAGACCCCTAATCCCTCCTTGTTCCCTCCAGTCCAATGACGAACACTTCCTCGCGACCTACAAATAGTGTTCTTCTCGCCCACTCTTCCTGTCTGTCTGCCTGCCTGTCGCTCTGTCAATAGCCCTACTATTTCTTTAATGACCGTCTATCCTGTGCTCAGATTGTCACGTCACGCTAGCGGCCTCCGAGTGGGGTATCATGGTCATTATCATTACAAGTCATCATAGCCCATGTTGGGAGAAGCTCCCTCACATTCACGTCGTCTTCCCAAACCCCGTCTCTCTCTCTCTCTCTCTCTCTCTCTCTCTCTCTACGATTCACTCACCCCCTCACCCCCTTTCTCCCCACCACACCATTAAGCGCCGCACTCCCAAGCACCACGACCGCGCCCATGCCCAGTGCGACGGCGTATGCGGGGAGAGCGCGCAGGCCCATACATCCGCGTACGTACTGAAGCTGGTCGATGGTGCTGCGCAGGAGTGTTTGCCATGAAGAGGGTCCGTCGCCGTCGGAGCTGGGACTGGGGTCGCCCTCTCCTGAGTTGGGGGAAGTAGCGAAGGGTTGAGCGTCTCTCTGGTTGCTGGTGGGGATGCGGGAGTCGCTGTTGGTGCAGGTGCTGTGCTCCGTAAGATTTAGGGCGGATGTAGGCTCTGTCTCTTCGGCTGGGTCGTCGAATTGTCCTTCCTCCTCTTCTCCGTCCGATCCTGCATTCTGCGGGTCTGAAGAGCTGAGCTCGGCACTCTTGATAGGCAGTGACTCTTCTATGCCTGACAGCTCTCCGTGTGTGACCTCCTGGCCCTCCAGCTCAGCCTCGGCTATCCCAAGTCCAAAGAGTGTCGTCACGCTCGTAATCTTCTTCCTGCGAGGAGCAGAATACGTCAATGAGCCAAAGTCACTCGGCGCCGTTGCATAGTCAGACCTGATGGTTCCGACTGAGTCTGTCTCAAGTGCAGTGAATAAGCTTCTGGTTGACCTCGTACTGGCTCTCGAGAAGGTACGAGCGTGAAAGTCGGGTGGCTTGGAAAGACGGAAGCTGTCTCTGGCGAGTTGAGGAGCTGACTCGTTCTCAGGTTCATCTTCGGGCGAGTCTTGATAGCGATCCTCGTCGAATTTTTCTTCCCCTGTCACGACATTTGTTTCTTCTTCTTTTGCTTCTCTGTCAGATTCCATTTCGCGCCTGCCATCGTCTTCGACGCCATTCCCGCGCCAAAAGTCATCTTCAGACTGCGAAGTAGACGCTCGAACACGCTTGACAGGATCGTAGTCGATATCTCCGGCAAGGGTTGAGGCACTTGACATATTGTAATCCCTGCTCATACTAAAGATGTCGCTCTCCTGAGATCGAGACATGTCGGACTCGAGGATCGCATCGATAAGACCTGGCTCAAGTGGCGACCAAGGTGAGACGTCTTCAGTCTCTCCTGCGATGTCTGTTCTGTCCTCCTCTGAGGCTGCAACGAGTAATACTGGTGCTTCTGACCAGTCCGCCCCTTGACTGGGAACGCTGACAGTGCATTTCGACTCATCGGCGCTCTCAGATGGCCCGCCAGGCGAGTCGTTCCTGAGTCCAATGATGCTGTCCACGGAGGAGGACTGTGAGAAGCCATCCTTGTCCTGCCGCTGTCTTGTCGTCCAGCTGCCAGAATCCTTCTGGTAGGTCAAGCTTGTGACACGACCCCTGACATACCCCTCTCCGAACGACGGCGATACGGCATCTCGAGAGGATGTGTAGCCCTCTGTGTCTGCATGAGCCCACGATGCTGTTTCCTTGCGTCGTGGCCTCAGCCCGGGAACGCGGGGCTGATTCTCATCTGAGGCTGCTGGTTCGAGCCCCTGAATGACATCCTTGACGTACTTACGATTCTGAATCCTCTTGAGCGTGATGGTCATGACCCTCTTCTCGCCGTTTGCGAGCTGGCTGCCTTCTCTTGCCGACTCGGTATCCCTTGGACGATCAGAGCCACCCTCGTCAGAACCAGACCACTCATCCTCTCTGCCACTCCAGATCCGCCTGCGCAGGGCATCTCGTCGCAAGCGTCGGGAAGCTTCACACAGCAGCCGTCTCCAACGTGTGTTCATGCCTTTCTTCTCCAGATCGCGCTCGCGCAGTCGTAGAAAGGCCTTGCCAGTGAGATGCGCCGATGCGACAAAGTGCGCGAGTGTCTCCATGACTGGCACAGGGACGTTGACAAAGACGTGGAAGAGATAAATGCTCACTTCGTCTGGTAGCCAGGTACGTGGATCTCGAGGCAGATCTGCAAGAGAATGGGCGGCCAAAGGAGCTTGGATGCGTCCGGCTGAGCTGGCGACGTGCGTACTGTGGAGGTTGGGAGTAGTGTTGGACCGAGGGAAGGCACGCATTGCTGGTCTTCTTGGTGGCGAGCTGCTAGACTCGCTCAACTGGGATTCGTTACACGATGCAGGTAGACGGGTCGTCTTGGGCATATCCGATGTGGCGGGAGCGGGAGGCGACTCGGTCACCGAACGCACTGGTCCTCTGCGGGTCGATGTGACCAGCGCTGGAGCTCGATTGAGGTATGAGTAGCCAGTGGGAGTAGCACCACCAGGGCTGAAGCCCGTCACAGAACGTGGGACTCGAGATGGGGAAGGGAATCGACGCCCGAGCTCAGTGCGTGTCTTGTCGACTGGGGCCGCCATGCCTACGACGATGGCTGGCGGGTAGCACAGTCGACGCGAAGGTATGTGAAGGAAGAGAGAGATGGGGACTCAACAGGACTCCTCCAACGGATAGTAATATGCAGGCATGGAGATGAGCAGCGGACCGCGATAGGGGCGAACATCATCAAAGGGTCCAAGCGGAAGGAACACCGCCAGGAACCGACGCCGTGTCACCGTAGACACAGACGCGTCGCGCGACAGGGGCGCACATACATCGGGAAGCGGGGTGGCTACAAGACAGAAGTCATACATCGTCCGTCGTCTTCTATTCTGATGCATTTGGGTTGTTCTACTTTACGGACTGTTCTTGGAGGTCGACTCCATATATACGCATATTCCACTGAGCATTGCCAGGGCCACCTTACCACCTTGTCAAGTCCTCCACTTCGCCAAAGACGCTCTCCTTGACAGGCGGCATCTTTTCACCACCTACCCCAATCTTGCCACCCTGACCGTCTGCGCCGCCTGCCTCTTCGCTCCCCCAATCCTTCCACTCCTCCCACCCCACTCCTTTCTCATTGTAGAAGTCCTCTCCAACGACCTTTCTGAGCACCTCTTCGCAACCGCTACCGATGGCTTCGAACTCCAAGAGGAAACCGTCGTGGCCTTCGGGAGAGGGCACTTCGTGGAAGGTAGACCCCGGGATGAGTTGATGAATCAGACGCTGCTCTGGCGTCTGGAAGAGGCCATCCGAGGAGATAGACACTACATGCACCGAAGGAGCAGGGGCGCCGTAGCGGGACAGGCTTGGCGAATTACCGTCAGAGGTACCAAGGTAAGCCAGGACTCGTGCTAGAGCTTCGTCGTCCTCCTCGCCTGCGTGGGGCAGCCGCTTCTCCCCTTGAAGAACTTCTTCGCTGGTGCCCAGCCTACTGTCCACCTCCCTCTGGGCTTGCTTAGCCTCGCGGGCCGCTTCCTTGGGATCCAAGAAGCCCCAGTGAGCACGGCCTCTTGCCAAATCGTGCGTATCCATCTTGCGCGTGAGATGAATATAGCAGTTGGCGTCGAAGCGCTTGACGAACTTGTCGCCCTGGTATCGCAAATAAGACTGTGCTGAGAAGACGGGAGGCGCAATCGACGAGTCCGGAGGTGCAATGCTGCTGGTAATGGAGGTCTTCGCAAAGCCGTCAGACGTTTCACCCGACGTCGCAGCGCCGCTGACTCCATTTGCATCGACTGCGAGGCGAGGGCTGAGGTTGCCTTCGTTGTGAGCGAGGGCTGCTACCGATGCAGTGGAAGATCGGCGACTAGCATCGGAGGCAGCCTGGGATGCCGTAGCACTTTCCTTTGCTCGAGCTGCCGCCGCGGCAACAGCTACGGCTCCACCACCCTTAGCTGCAGTTCCGACTCTTCGACCGAACCGAGACTCGAAGCTGTCTCGACTGCGATAGGTGAGAAGAGCAGCCATTCGAGCTGCAGCCAGTCCGGCCCGTGGAGAACTGTCGGAGGCATAGTAGCCATGACAGAAGAGTGGATCAGAGTAGATTGACTGACGCTGCGCCTCTGCCCATGAAATACACCATGCACCATGACGGGCTGCTGTTGCGATGGGAATGATGCAGGAGATGTAGCGATCCTTTGGGTCGCTCGTGACGGAAGAGGGGTCGTCTAGCTGACCTGGATCGTCCGTAGGTGGGAAGCGAACGGGGAAGCAGAGTGGCCATTCGAGGACAGCCATGCCTCCCATGGATCCTCCCACGACAGCTGCGATTCGCTCCACTCCAAGGAAGTCGAGAACGAGCTTTTGAATCCTGTCAAAGAGAAGTGACACAAAGGCATCAGCGGAAATCGATCTTCACGGATTTGCGACGAACTGCATCTCACCTGACATCGTCTCTGACGGTCGTGGCAGGGAACTCCGGCCCCCACCAGCCCTGACCGTCCCAATCCTTCTCGCGCCTGTGAGTGCCGCTCTGGGCGTCGTAGTCCTCACCTCCCTTGCGGGTGCAGGGTCCACCTGACCCATAGGGCGAGCCAAGAACATTGGCACAAAAGATGAAGTACCGAGTAGGGTCGAAGAGCTTACCAGGCCCGAGCAGAGGACCCCACCTGTAGCGCAGAAGAAATATCAGCGATAGTCCTGATACTGGCCCGCGATTTCCGCTCTACCTGCTCACCAGTCTTCCACATCAGCGCTGCCGGTCAAAGCGTGAGCAACGACGAGGGCGTTGTCCTTCGTCCTCTCATCCAGCTTGCCCCACGTTTTGAATGCTACGGGCAAGTTGGTGAGCGTAATGCCGCTCTCCAGGGTGAAGGAAGGAAAGAGGAGGTACTGCTGCCCAGAAGCGATCATGGAGGACTGAGGAGAGGTGGGGCCAGGGATGAGAACAGGAGTTTGGGCCGGCCGATGAGGAGCGTGGCCATTGGCCAGACCCGGGGCAACTGCCGCCGACGAGTTCATGGCGAATGGTACTTTTATGTGAGGATGGTATACGCGAGCGTGAGGTCTTCCAGATGTGGGGATGATCGAAGGTAGCGGAGTAACAAGCCGAGTCAGAAAGGTGGCGGGCGGGAGTGCACACAAAAATCTAATCAGGCTCGGCCACGTGCTTCCAGGCGCTCAGAGGCCTGACCGACCCCGCCTTGAGAGCCCACTGAGTATACATCTTGTGATAATGATCTGGATGCATCTACCTCATCATAGCGGTGGCATTGCTCAAAACGTCCGTTCCCTGTGAGATGATACGAGCGGGCTGTTGAGGACAAGTCGAATCCTTTGCTCGGTTCTGTTCCAGGCGCGTGTCCTTGCCCCCCTCCCTATATCCGCTGCTCATCCATACACTCTCACCTCCGGACACAGCAGAGCCAGCTGTGTCTCCTCGCATGTATCTATCATGACGGCTGAAGGTTTCGAAACCCTCATTCGGGATCGCTTGGAACACCCCACGCGGAGTTCTTGCGGCCGAGGGTGGCTCGAAACCTTCAGGCCGCCGGGGATGGCGAGCTTTGAGCCGCCAGTGGGCTGTTTCCGTGCCTCCACCTTCCCCGGCCGGCCCTAAGCCAATCGAACACCGGCACCCCCGCACGCATCGAAATCCCTACAAAAAGCCCATTTCTTCTCGCCAGCCATTCCTTTAGAGCAATCCATACACTCAATCCAATTCTCAATATGTCTCCGTCCGCTACCACAAGGTCCTCAGCCGGCCTCTGGCCTCAGGACAAGCCCATTGCGCTGGCCAATTCGTCCTTTGTACCTACCCGCCACGGCCACCCCGCTCCTGGAACCGTGCCCGATGACATCGTCCCGGAAGGAGAGAAGAAGCCCAAGCTCTTCGAGCAGGCCAAGCTTCCTCATTCCGACCTGGTGCTCAAGAACAGGGCGTGAGTGTGCCGAGCTTCTAGGCGACAACGAGGGAGCTCTCACTGACCCTCATCTCCCTCTATGCTACACCCTTTGCTCAACCAGCGTCGTATCTCCGATGTGCCAATACTCGGCCCGTAATGGTGTTCCGACCCCTTATCATCTTGCTCACCTAGGCCAATTCGCCCTCCATGGTGCTGGTACGATCATGGTCGAGGCGAGCGGAGTGACATCAGCAGGTGAGGACAATAGTAGCCGGAAGGACGTCTAGGGCATCTCTCACTGACAAGCTTGACATGCACTTCACCGATCCGTTCAGGTCGTATCACACCGCAAGACCTTGGGATCTGGTCCGACGAACAAATTGCTGCCCACGCCTCTCTTGTCACCTCGCTCAAGTCTTTTACCGAAGGTCTTACAATGGGAGTACAGCTCGCACACGCTGGACGAAAGGCTAGCACGTGGAGTCCATTCTACCGAGGTGACAGGAAATCTCCTCACTACGTCTCGGATGCAGAGGGCGGCTGGGAGAAGGACACAGTAGGCCCCTCGCCCATTCCTTATGGCGAGGGCTGGATCACGCCTCGAGAGCTCACAACGAAGGAGCTGCAGGACATCATTCAGTCCTTCGTCGTAGCGGCCAGGCGAGCCTTCAACGAGTGCGGCTACGACTTTATTGAGATTCACAGCGCGCATGGCTACCTGCTCGACTCTCTCAACTCTCCTCTGTCCAACAAGAGGACCGACCAGTACGGTGGCTCCTTTGAGAACCGTACCCGCGCTCTGAGGGAGATCATCTCACAGATCAAGAAGGAGTTCCCTCACAAGAGTGTTTGGCTGCGAATCGGCTCCACCAACTTCGCAGAGCACGTCGAGGACCCTTCATGGGGAATCGAGGATACAAAGCGCCTTGCACAAGAGTTGGGAGAGGCTGGCGAAGTCGACGTCATCGACTGCTCAGCTGGTGGTCTGGTGCCATTCCAGAAGATCAACCCTCGCCCAGGATACCAGGTCCCATTTGCCGAAGGCGTCTCCTCTCTCGGCATTGCCAAGTCGAAGCTGCTCGTGGGCTCTGTGGGCATGCTGGAGGGTCCCGATGTCCACCAGCCTGGTCATCTCGCAGAGGAGGTGCTGCAAAAGGGCCAGGCGGACCTGATCTTCCTCGCACGAGGCTTCCTTGCGAACCCAAGCTGGGTGGAGGACTCTGCCACTCAGCTGATGGGCACTAGATGCGCAGGCAACCCTCAGTACCACCGTGTACACCCTGCCAAGAGGCCACCTCCTCGTGCGCAGAACCACAACTAGAAGGGTCGAGAAGTGTACGATGAGCCCATCTAGAAGTCTTGTGTAGAATCAGTAAATACGATGTACGTCTTCAGCTATCTTCCTATCGAACTGGTCCTCTATCTGGAACCTGCTCATGACTGAAAAGTGTGGCGGTCTAGCTGATGGAAGTAGCGGCGCCGTTCTGCCAGGCATGGGAATTCCCTCCCCTTCGCGCCTCATACTGATGGCTCACCTCCTGTCTCCGCGCTCCTTCCTCTTTCATGCGTTCAAGACAATTCCTTTGCGCCGACTGACGCTCTGGGATTTGTCAAGTGCTGAAAAGCGCGTGTTGATCGCTACTGATGGCAACGTCGTTTTCTGGCGCGTGCCGGACTGATCGCTGCGCTTCGCAGCTGCCCCTGCCTTTGCTGCAGGGCCCAAAGTGGCGCAGTGGAGGCGCGGCGAAAAGGGACAGGCCACACGGTCCGGATCAGTGAGCGCTTGCTTACCGCTCAGACGATGCGAAGAGAAGAGGGTACCGCTCACCGTCGTCAGGCAGATGGGTATGCTAGACCTGCTACTGTGGATCGGTGACATTGGAAGACACGCTCATGTTGAAGTGTATGCGTGTCAGTCGAGCATGCTGTGCCTACGTGAGGGTGCGTGTTGATGGCAGTGGTGGCCAGGACGCGGGCGTGGCGGGGGGTGTGGAGCCAAAATTCAGGTGGCCTGGCTCGAGGGCAAGCGGAGTCTGAATGCTGCATCACGGTCTGTCTTTCCGTCTGGTCCATGCAAATACCAGGCGCTCCTCGCCCACGCCTGCCTTCGCCTCCCCCCTCCCTTTTCTTTCCTACCAAGCAATACCACTCGTCAAGCTCACCAACACTCTACCAATTCACTTCACCTCCATCCTCCTCTTGGACTTCACGTCTTCAACACCACCTCAAAACCCAACAAACTCTCTCACAAAGATGTCTGCCGCTACCAAGAAGACTGGCGCCGCCAAGAAGGCCGCCCCCGCTGCCAGTGGACCATCATACCGTGAGTAGAGGATCGCAGACGCGACAAGCGATAATCGGTCAAGGTGAAGGGATCAGTGGGTAGCACAGGACCAAGAGATACCATATATGCTGTCTTCTGGTCGCTACCTCGCCGGTGGATGGAGCCATTGGGTGTCGAAGCCGTCAGCATCCGTTGACAAGGACGTGTCGAGGTGGACGATGACCCCCGACACGCTAGAAACGGCATCACGCCTCGCACACCCAATGGATCGTTCCACAACCTCGTGGATCTGCGGTGCGCACTCTCCTGCCATCCAATGACGACCGACTTGAGCTCGCTATCATTGCAACTTGGCGCGAAATCGCCCTCGTCGTCGTCGTCGTCCTTCGGAAGAGGAAAGCAAATCCGCGGCCAGCCACGCGGCGCGCCGGCACCCCGACTTCACAACACATTTTCACATCTTTGTCACCGCCGCAAAGGACGATGATAAACGAATCATCGTCATCATCACTACTTGCTCGTTCTCATCGCTGATTCTTTTGCTCTCGTCATCGTCATCCACAGTCGACATGATCAAGCAGGTCATCGTCGGTCGCCCCGAGGACGCCCGTACCGGTGTGAGCCGACAGACCATCAAGAAGGAGCTGCCCCTCAAGTTCCCAAAGACCAAGACTCTCTCCGACTCTGCTTTTGCCAACCACGTCAACAAGGCCATCGCAAGGGGTGTCGAGACTGGTAGCCTCACCCAGGCCAAGAACAACGGCAAGGTCAAGCTCGCCGCCAAGGAGAAGAAGGCCCCCGCCGCAAAGAAGCCCGCTGCCGCAAAGAAGGCACCCTCGACTGCTGCTAAGAAGACTACCGCCGTGAAGAAGGCACCATCGACTGCTGCCAAGAAGCCTGCTGCGAAGAAGGTGAGTTCGAAAAGAGGTTCGCGGCCGCCCTCGCCGTCGACGCCATCGGAAACCTCTATACTGACCCTGGCGCGTTGCACTCATTCCATCCAGGCTGCCACCCCCAAGACCAAGTCGTCGACCGCTGCCAAGGCTACCAAGCCTGCTGCCAAGAAGACTGCTGCCGCTGCTAAGCCCAAGGCCAAGGTAAGTCTTGCATACTTTAGGCGAACACGTCGTCAGCGTCAGGGCATGTGTCAAAACGCAGGCCGTTGACGTTGTCGCGTTTCTCTTTGCATTGCTTCCCTGCCCCTTCCCGCAATTCGGTCTTGCTTACACAACAAAGCGTACTCCCCTTGCTCCAACTCAGGCTGCTGCACCTAAGACCAAGAAGGCCGTTGCCAAGAAGTAAATCGACTTGCGCTACCGCATAACGACACGATGATGGCGACAGCTCTGGGGATTGCCGTCCCTACTGCTGCATGATCGCAGGACAAGTCAGCCTCATATACCGGGCTTGTCCCCAGCTCCTTGCCGAGCTAGGCATCATTCCGTCATCATCGTCGCCCGCAGTATAACGCTCCGTCGCTTCTTTGCTTTTCTGGTTCCTTCGCTCGTGGTAGTCTCCCCTCTGTACAGCTATGCAGCCATCCTCACTGTCCTTGTAGGTTCGGCTCCTTCTATCTCGCGCTCTTGCTCTTGACGATTCTGTTCTCGTTGTCCCTTCCTCTCTCTTTCACCTTCCTCCTTCTGGCTCAGCTGGGCCCAGGGGTGTAGTGAGATTTTGCGTCTTTCTTTGCCCACCACCTAGTCCACCTGACCTTGTATTAATGCTTTCCCTTTACCCAAACACCACATCTACGCCTTTCTCTCTGGCTGTGAGTGATGTGAACGGTCTGACCAAGTTTGGGCTGGGTGGCAGGAGACCGCTGTGTCCTCGACCTTGGCCCGTGGCGCAGTAAACAATGCCTGGTGGCGGGATGCCCAACGAGGCGAGTGCCGCATCAAGTCTGCCAGGCTTGGCCCCCAGACGGAAGTGGGGCACAAGTGGAGCGCGTCGCAGGCGTTGCATGGTGTTCAATCTCCGCTCGCCACGCTCCCCTCTTCCGATCCGACGCGATTGGGAATGGGTCCTTCATTGCTCTCCGCCCCTGACGCGCTGAGGCTGAGCGATAGCCGTGGCTCCTTTGTCCCCCTCTTGACCAACACTTTGTCCATCGCTTACCATTCTACTCCACAACGACCATCCCCCCACCAGCGCATCCCTCCGCGCCCCTTTGACCTCTCATCCACTACTTCGCATCCATACCAGACCGCTGCTCAGTCTACCCCTCCTCGGTCATTCGCGACGTAGGACCCCTTTGAAAGAGGAAGGTCCTCTACGGAGTCAGCTTTCTACCCCTATCTCGGCAGTGGCGAGCATCAGTAGCGTGACAGCAAACGGCTCAAAGGCAACCCTGCGCCACCATGGTCCTCTCCTCCTCTTCATCCACCTCGGCCTCGTCTACGCCCTTCTTTACTAGCGCACGGGCATCACGCCAAGCTGCTTCATCTACTCCCTCTACATCCACATCGGGTTCACGCGCTCCACTTTCAGAGCTTTCCCTCGCCCCATTCATCTTTGCTGCTCACAATGCCCAAAACATTGCCAGCAATGAGAGTCCTCGCAGTAGCCCGCTCAGCAAGCAACACGGCCCCTCGCCGATTCTCAAGCCGACGTCGATGAGCAAGAAGCGGACGCCTGCGAAGAGTGCGGTAGCTTCGTCGAGTAGAGGGGGTTTGAGTCAGGATCTTGATACAGAAGGGGATGTGACCATCACTAGCAATGGCAGCAGCAAGTCAGGACGTTATAGTCAGCCCCTCACACCTCCTCATCACTCCACGACGCCAAAGAATCTACGGCCTCATCATCCACACGTCTACTCCAGCAACACTTCGCCTCTGGTCACTGGCAATGCCTCGCCTAGTCTACGACGTGGAGTCGAGAGCCCTCTCAAGAAGGTTACACATGGTAGTCCATACCAGAATGACGCAACGACTCCTTCCAGCTATCGCGCCTCACCGGTTGGCTCCATGGATCCAGTGGCAGCTAAGGGAGGCTCCAGCTCGCTCCCTCGCAAGCGCCATCGTGTCCAATCAGGCGAAGCTGAGCTGGCCAGAGAAGAGGCGGATAGACCTCTTGTCGGTACCCCGACTCCTCACAAGAATGCAGCCGCGGCAGCAAAAGGGGGCTCTTCGGCAAGGAAGAGGGAGAAGAGCAGGACAATGGTGGTAGACGATGCCTCCGATCAAGAGGCCAGGCTGCAACTCTCTGCAGAAGAGGAGAACCCCTTCATGGCTCGCGACAATGGAGGCTTCGTCGTCTTCGAAGATGTAGGAGACGATATGCCATTGCTGAGCATGGAAAAGCAGACTTCGGTCCAGGCGGATGGCGATGAGGACAAGGAGAACATCCGTCTCATGCCCGTCCCAGCTCAAGCAAGCCCATCGACGATGACACCTCCCACCTCTCAACCTCAGCAAACCACATCCCCATCGACAAGCCGTCGACCCAGCGCAGCGCCCCTGCAGAGAGCGACAGCAGCAGACAATCGAGCCCACGGCAGACTCGCGGCGAATGCAAAGGGCAAGTACACCACCTCATCGACTTTGGTGACTACAGGGAGTAGCAGTAGCAATAGTGGTAGTGGCAGCAGCAGTGAAGAGGGCTCCTCCTTCTTTGCCTCTTCCTCGAGCTCCTCCGCTTCGGGAGCAGAAGGAGAATCGGGACTGGGATTACCACGCCTCCTCAGCAGGAGCAGCCGTAAAGCCGGGCGAGATCTTCCCCCTACTCAAACACGGATGCTCGGGCGACGCGCACGAGAAGGGAGTGCTGAAGTTGGCAGCGCTGACAGTGCAGCGGGAGCAGGAGATGAACGCCCTGAGGGAGAGGAGGAAGGAGAAGGGGAGAGGGAGTGGCGTAAGAGCAAGACGCCAAGGAGGAAGGGGACGGGTGGGCGCTTGAGTTTGCTTGCTTCTGCTGAGGCTGAGGCTGAAGCTGATGGTTGAAGCTGAGGCTGACGATTCACACTTGAAAGCAGCAGCAGCAGCAGCAGAGCCGAGGGGACCGATGGGACAAGATCTGCCTGGATTTCCCCGTTCCGATTGATTTCCCAGATATGTACAATAGACTCGAACAAAGATCCGTCCTCTGCTGCGCTTGCGCTTGCGCTTTTGCTTTTGCTTTTTCATCCTCTCCCCCCCCTTTCCCATCTCCATCCATCTGTCGGCTCTCTTCCAAGCGTCCACGAGCTACACCCTGTGGCAAGTCGTCTTCGTCAGACGGACGGGGAGCAGAATGAAGTGACATCAAGTGAGGTGAGGTAAGAGTGACAATGTATAGTGTGGTATTCATCGAAGCGGACATAGACTA